AACAACAAAAGAATTCATCACTTGTAGACTCTATTATCTCTTTGTTATGAGCAGTCTCCAGCAAACTTCACAGATGTGGGTTGACAGTTTCTTCTATGTTTAAACTTTTATTCTTTTAGTAGCAATTATGATACTGTAGTATTCTGTCTCCCAGTTATGCTAAAATCATCAGTTACTAAAGGTAATGTCATTTGCTCTTCCTTCTCATGTTTATCTTTATAAATTTTGAAGGGCACAGAGAGAGATTTAGATTTCTTCTACATTGGAAATCAAAGTATATCTTTTATTGTTTCATTTGTTTTTCCTAAACAGGGTTTCTCTGTATAGCCCTGGCTGTCCTAGAGCTCACTCTGTAGACCAGGCTGGCCTCGAGCTCACAGAAATCTGCCTGCCTCTGGCTCCCTAGTGCTGGGATTAAAGGAGTGCACCACCACCACTGGGCCTTGAAAGTGTATCTTACCATAATCATACTCTTCTTCCCTTCCTCTACACCACACATTCTCTGTAATTTTTATTTTTCATCACAAACCCACAAAATAGAAAAATTATGTACATGCAATCAATCATTCTTTTTTTTTTTTTTTTGGTTTTTCGAGACAGGGTTTCTCTGTATTGTTTTGGAGGCTGTCCTGGAACTCACTCGGTAGACCAGGCTGGCCTCGAACTCACAGAGATCCGCCTGCCTCTGCCTCCCGAGTGCTGGGATTAAAGGCGTACGCCACCAACGCCCGGCGCAATCAATCATTCTTATTCATGAAAGTTGGACAGAAGAAAACCACAGTGAACTATGCCAAGATTTTTGTAGTGTGATATTAATTCATAAGAGATGTGCTAGTGCTTACATGGGAAAATTAATTTGTTTTATTTCTAGAGCTTTGGAAAGCTGATCACTTGAATGACAAGAGCCAAGAAAACCAACTTAAGTATCCTTGGGATACTTGGGATACAATAACAAAATGGTAATTGAAGAACAAGGTAATGTTAATAGGAAAACCACTTAACTTGGACACTATTTTTCTTCCACAAAAACACTCTGTAAATGTGACTCAGATGGAATTAATTCTAACAGCATTTCAGAATTTGTTATTAGAAAAAATTTCTCAAGAAAAAAATCCTAATGAACCTGGCAGTGGTGGTGCATGCCTTTAATCCCACCACTCAAGAGGCAGAGGTAAGTGGATCTCTGAGTTCAAGGTTAACTGGTCTATAGAGTGAGTTTCAGGACAGCCAGAGCTACATAGAGACACCCTCTGTCAGATAAAAAGAACAGCAAAACAAAAAAAATCCTAATGAATTTAATGCCTGTGGAAAATTATTACTCAACATTAAATGTGAGAAAATTCTTACTAGAGAGAATAGTTTTAAAAAATAAGGCTACAACCAATGGTCATGAAACTCCTATGTAACATGGAAAGGTCCAAGCTACAGATCATATTTTTAATATAATGTATATCTGGATGCCATCCTGGAAAAAAAAAGATGAGTAATCCACAAAGCAGTGAGAGCACAGGGCATACCGGCTGTGAACGTAATAAATATGGGAGACTTCTCTCTGAGAACCCGCCTGTGAACGCAATAAATATGGGAGGCTGCTCTCTGAGAACCCGCCACTTTTGTTCCCTCAGACATCTTTCTCTGAAGACAGTCATTGTGAATTTGATAATCTGATCGTGATAGCGATTGTGTCCACTGCTCCCAACATGATGATATTCATATGAAACACTGTGACCATAATGAAATTGAAAAAAAACTTAGGAGCAAATCATGTCTCTCCCAATGAATGTGGCAAAGCTTCGTGGCAGAAACCATATCTCACACGACATCAGAGAGTACATACAGGAAAGAAAAGTTTCTGGGAGAAGTCAAACCTCATGAAACATCAGATTGCATACAGGAGAAAACCCTGTGAATGCAGCCAATGTGGGAAAGCCTTCAGCTGAAAGTCAGCCTTCATACAACACCAGAGAACACATACAAGATAGAAACCTTACCAGTGTGCTACATGTGAGAAAAACTTTTACCAGAGTCAGATACCACAAACATCAGGGAACACATGGAGGACTGAACCCCAATGAATGTTATGAATGTGGAAAATTGTTTTGTATGAATTTACACCTTAGAGCACATCAAAGGACACACATAGGGGTGGGAGATGCTTTGTATGTCTAGACTGTGGGAAATCCTTTTGTCAAAATTCACATCTTACACAGCACCAAAGAATTTATATAGGAAACAAACTCTCTGTTTGTAACGTACGTGGGAAAAGTTTCTACCATGAATCAGTACTCACAAGGTATCAGGTAATTCACACAGGATTGAAACCTTACAAATGTTATGACTGGGAAGACATTCTGCTAAAGTCAGACCCCACAGTACATGGGAGAACTCACATGGGTTGAGACGCTTTGTGTGTCCAGAATGTGGGAAATTCTTCAGCCGTAAGTCAATCCTCTCTCAACATTTAAGAACACACACAGGGGAGAAGCCATATGAGTCTCGTGAATGTGGAAAACTATTTTACAATAAACCATACCCGGCTAAACACAATAAAACACACACAGGGGAGAAGCCACATGGAGGCAGTGACTTTGGGACAACCTTCTGCCAGAAGTCACAGCTCACACACCTTCAGAGAATTCACACAGGGGAGAAGCCCTATGAATGTTTTCAATGCAGAAGAACAGTTTGCCTTAGTCGGCTCTAACTGTACAATGGAGAATCTACCCAGAAGAAAAGATATAACGAATGTGGAAAATACTTCTATGTGAAGTCAGGACCTAGTTTACAGCAGAGAATGTATAAAAACTGTAGTCACAAATCATCTCTCACAATACATCACAGGACTCACACAGGGAGGGGAGAAATCTTGTCAGTGTAATGTTTGTGGAAAAATCTTTTACTGTAAACCAGACCTTGTTAAACATCAGCAATCACACAAGGAGAAAAGCCATATGAATATAAAATATGCGGGAAAAATTTCTCTCCCAAACCAACCTCATGCCAGGAGGTGGTGGTGCACAGCTTTAATCCCAGCACTCAGAAGCAGGCAGGTGGATATCTGTGAGTTTGAGGTCAGCCTGATCTACAAAGTGAGTTCCAGGACAGTCAGGGCTGTTACACAGAGAAACCCATCTCAAAATAAAAAAAAAAATCAAACCTCACTGCACACCATAAGTCATATGTAAGAAGAAAGTCATATGAATAAAATAATATGAATGTTTATGACATGTCAGTCTTAACTACACTTCAGAGTTCACACACTGGAAAAAAATGCCACATTTCTACATCCTTAACCCTGGAAATAATCTGAGTTTTAGAAACATAGATGACTGAATAATGTAATAGCCTTAAGCATCTATGGTAGTCAGGTATGGTGGTGCACACCTTTAATCTCAGTATCCAGGAGGCAGAGGCAGGTGGATCTCTGTGAGTTCAAGTCCAGCCGAATGAGTTACAGGACAGCCTCCAAAACAATACAGAGAAACCCTGTCTAAAAAAACAAAAAACAAAAAAAAAAACCCCAAAACAAAGAACATCTAGGGGAATAATGGAATAGGAAGTGTTAAATTAGGGTGGGGCTAGGAGAATGGGTAGAGGATGGAATATGGGGAGGGATAACTAACACTAAGGTCTTTTGAAAAAGCCACATGGAAGCCCACTACTGTTGGAGCTACCTAAACTCATGCTAGCAAATACAATCTCCAGCACCAGCAAGGGTTGCCTCTTTTTGAGCTGCTGGCCAATGGGCCATATAGAGCCACTAGGCACACATCACAGGCCTCTGCCGATATTCTTGGCTGTCCTCCAGAACGTGACAGTAAGACCCTGCTGCTGAAGACAGCACATATTTGAAGCACTGGACGTGAGGAGATCAAGTTGGTGCTCATCTGCAAGGCTCATCCTTGATGACTAGAAGCTGCTACACACTCTACTGAAGGAGAAAAGTACCTACAATGACTGGGCTGGCAAGACAAGCTCACTGGTGCAATGCCGGCACACACGTTATGTGAGTAACCAACCACTTCCTGATCGGATCCTTCATGGGAGAGAACCCATACCTGGCACTGTTGGAGGGGCCCAAAACCTGCAACGAGGTAGGTCATAGGGCCTAGGGGTGAACCCAATCTCTCAGCCCTCACCAGAGAAGCTTCTCTTTGCAATAGATAGCCATTACCACAGAAATCCTCAGCTGGTCAATGTGTTAATAATATTGGATGTGGTGTGCTAAGTCCTAAGTATGGCTGTGATCTTCGTGGAAGAGGGGGCAGAAAGACCGACTTTAAGAGCTAGAGCTGGTGGACAACACCAAAAAAGTGTTTCCCCAACACAATAGGGCAGTTGAACAGGTGAATTCACAGCAATCATGCTAGCATGTTACAAGACCTTTGCAAGCTCAAGCCAGACAATAATCACAGCATAGAGAGAAGTTGGGCACAAAATCCCATTCTAAATTTTCTGGCTATAAAAAAGACATATTGAGATAACTGTTAAAATTGAAATAAAGCTTGCAGACTAAATACTGAACTTCCTGACTCTGATTATTCCACTGTAGGTATGTATGATTGACTCACTCCTGTTTTTAAAAGACATGTATTTGGGAATAAATGTGTCACGTCTGCAACTCACAAGAAAAAAAAATGCTCTTTTCTGTCCCCTTATTTGCATCTATTTTGAAAGAGGAAGAGAAAAGGAAGGATAAAAACAAGTGTTTACATTTGGGAAACAAATGGTAATAACCAAGGTTTCTTGGTACTATTCTTAAAACAATTTTTGATAGTGCATCAATTACTGAAATAGGACATTTATGAGCTCCAGAACACATGTACAATGGAATAATACTAAATGGACTCGATAGGGTATGCGTGGTGCATTTATACATGTGTATATGTATATAAAAATAACAAAGGGGCCATGAATTTGAGAGGGAGTTGGGAGGGACATAGGAGGAGTTGGAGGGAGAAAGGGAAGGGTGGAAATGATGTAAATATAGCACTCAAGTATGGAATTCTCAAAAATTTAATTTATTAAAATATAAAAATAATTTAAAATGTTATCAACATGTTGTAACTCATTAAGTAAAATGAAGAACCATTAATTCACATGAATACTAGTAAATGAATACATTGTAAGTTTGATGAGAAACAATTATTTACAGTCACAAATTACCTCCCCACAAAATAATTGTTACAAAACCAAAAGTAAATATATAGAGGAAAAACACATCACATAATTGTTCTTGCGATCAATATCAACATTATAATAGGGGAAATCTAAATTAGAGATAATAATAGGATCAAATGAAAAATATTACATCTGTAATACTCTTGCCAAAAAAAAAAACATGATTTACTCATAATGAAACAGAAAAGTCAATTCAAGAACACTACATGAATTGTACCCTGGAGATTTAAGGTCATGAAAATCAAGGCAAGTGTGGGCAACGCTCCAGACTGAAGCAGTCTAAGAAATGTAAGTAACTGGAATCCATGAGTCTGAATGGGCTCAGTCTTCGTTAAAGGACACTGTAGGCAAGAAGTCAAACTGGAAAGAATCTAGGATTAAATGCCAGGGTGTATTAGTGTTAGCCTTCTCATTATAAGGTGGCACCACAGTTACTCAGGATGTTGTCAACTGTAAAAAATACTATAATAGTCAAGAATGGTGGCAAGACTGTTTAAAAAAAAATCAAAGATGAACAAGCAAATGAATAAACAGAACAGGTAAAAAGCCTTAGGTAAATGTGCTTTTCTGTAGGATCAAGAACTATAAATCAGTGCTTAAAATTAAGACTAGGGTTGATGGTGACACTGTGGCTGCAATATATTAAAATGTTACCAATGGCTAAAGCAGTTGCATCCTGAAGTGATGCCTGGCTAAATCTTTTGGCTCATATGTAGTGACAAAAACAGAAGTATAGATGGGCGGTGGTGGCGCACGCCTTTAATCCCAGCACTCGGGAGGCAGAGGCAGGCGGATCTCTGTGAGTTCGAGGCTGGGCTGGACCAACAGCCTCCAAAACAATACAGAGAAACACTGTCTCGTATAAAAAAACAAACAAACAGAAGTATAAATACAAATATGCTATTTTATCCCACCAAAGTACTTATGAGAAACAGGCTTAGGTATTTTCATATGTAAAACTTGGTAATACTGGTTTAATAATACTTGTAAAATCTGCTTAAAGTCACCAAAAACACCAGGTAAACATATTAATTTTTTAATATATACGACAAACAAGTTTTCTTCACTTCTGTTTTCAAGTCATATATTTAATAGTAGACAAAATATATAAAGTCTAACAAATACAATATATTTTAGGCCATATATATTAATATATATTTGTACAAAAGAGCAGGTTTCATTATGACTTTCTTTTTCTGTGTGAGACATGTGGTCCTGGCTGACCTTGAACTTGGGAGATCTACCTGCCTGTTTCTCAAGTGCTGCGGTTGGAGCTGTGAGGCTGCCACCACATCCAGTGCTCTGAGACACACAGTGCCTGCACCCTTATCTTCTCTGGTCCTCTCTTCCTTTGGTCCTTCTCCCAAACAGTCCTACTCCTACTGACATGCCTTTTCTTCCTTCCTTTCACTTTTTAAATTCAGCAGATTGTGTATTTTCTCTTTAAAATGTCTATATAGTCTTGCGATGCTTCTGATAGTAGATCTTGACCGGGTTTAGTAGCAGATCCAAGGGGAGAAACTCTGCAGAACTCAGATTCCAATTCAGCGGTAGCTGGAAAGAAACGGTGATATATATATATGCACGTAGATATATTTATGTATATATGCATATATGTATGTGGGTGTGTGTATGAGACATATTTGCATGTATCTCAAAGATGTCACAGTTAACTAAGCACATGTCAGCAGAAGAGCTGAAACTGAACTGGTAATGTATGTGTAACTACAGTGCACAATCAACTAAATTTAACTTGCTCACAGGTGCATACTTAATTATCACAGTGAATATCCAAGTGTCTGGGTTGATTCACTTACTCAGCAATCATGTGCTAAGCTACTGTAACAAGCACAGGAATGCCAAGATGAGACGATATGGTCCACTCCCAACAATCATGTACAGTTATATCACAGAGCCATCGGACTGAAAACAGCACGGCCCAGCACACAAACAGGCATGTAGACCAGGGCAGTAGAAGGCCACTGGAACCAAGTCATAAGACCACATATTTACAGCTGCCTGATACTTGGCAAGATTCCCAAACCATACACTGGAGGAAAGAAAACATCTTTAACAAACGATGCTGGGAAACTGGATGTCCACATGTATTAGATGAAACTGGACCATTCTCTATCTCTGCACAACAGCAACTCCAAATGGGTTAAAGACTTCCATGTAAACCTGAAACTGCTGGAAGAAAAAATAGGCAGTACCCTACAAGATACACACATGCGGGAAAGGGCTTTCTGAATAGGATTCAATTTGCTCAGGAACAACTGACAAACTGGGCCTCTTCCATAGAGCATCAGAAAGAATCAAGAGGAAACCCACATAACAGGAGAGGATCTTAGTATACAGCTGATGGAGAATTAACATTTAGAATACACCCGGGAAATGCAAATCAAAACAACTCTCAGATACCATCTCACCCCTGTCAGAATGGCTAAAATCAAAAACACCAATGACAATTTATGCTGGAGAGGATGCGGTGAAAGGGGGACACTCCTCCATTGCTGGTGGGAGTGCCAACTGGTCCAGCCACTTTGGAAATCAGTGTGGAGATTCCTCAGAAAAATGGGAATAAACCTACCACAAGACCCAGCAACTCCACTCTTAGGCATATATCCAAAAGATGCCCATTCATACAACAAAGATGTCTGTTCCACTATGTTCATAGCAGCTTTATTTGTAATTGCCAGAACGTGGAAGCAACCTAGATGTCCCTCACCTGAAGAGTGGATAGAGAAAATGTGGTACATCTACACAATGGAGTACTATTCAGCAGAAAAAATAATGGAATCATGAGATTCGCAGGCAAATGGATGACACTAGAAGAAACCATCCTGAGTGAGGTAACCCAGTCACAAAAAGAGAAACATGGCATGTACTCTCTCATATATGGATTTTAGACATAGATCTGGGGAGTGCCAGCCTACAATCCTATGGCCAGAGAGTCTGGGAAACAGAAACTTTATTTAGTGGCTGATCGAAGAAGAAGCAGACTCCCTAGGTTAAGTACTGAGCTGAACTCAAGAAAGCCAGTATCAGAGAGGGAGGACTGATGATCAAAGGGATTAAGACTGGGCTGGTTTAACCCCCAGAAACAGCTGACCAGACAAAGGTTAACTCTTGAATCCCAGGCATCAGCCTGGGAAGCCAGCATGGGACTGATCAAGACCCCCTGAATCTGGGTGTCAGTGAGGAGGCCTAGGGAATCTATTGAGCCTTGGGCAGCAGATCAGTACCCATCCCAAGTATACACACGGACTTTGGACTCCAATAGAACAATGTGAGGTGCACTCTCACCCTGAACTCTTGGGAAAGGGTCTAGGCCCTGCCCTATATGAAATGACACACTATGGACACCCCCATGAAGGGCCTCACCCTCCCTGGAGAAATGAGGGGATAACGGGGGGGGGGGGGGAAGAGGGCACGGGAGGAAGGGAGGGAATGGGAGAGGGACCTGGAACTGACTTGTGAAGCAACCTTGATTCTTATCTAAATTTAAACTGGAAAATAAAATAAAAAAACAAAAACAAAAACAAAAAAACAAAAAAACAAAACAAACAAAAAAAAAGAATACACAAATACTGAAGAGTCAAGAGTCATAACCCATTTTTAATGGGTTATGGATCTGGGCAGAGTTCTCAGAAAAGGAACTAAAATCCAGGAAAGTATAAGGGGACCACATGTTGGTGTGCGGAAAGTTGAAAGGAGAATAGCAGGATACAGGTAATTGGAAGTGGAAAATGGAATATTGGGGAGGAGGATGATGGTCAATACAGAAGGAGAGGGACAAACACCAAGGTTGTTGGATAAACAACCAAATTGTGTGTGTGTGTGTGTGTAAAAATCTTTTTTTTTTTTTTTTTTTTTTGGCTTTGGAGGCTGTCCTGGAACTAGCTCTTGTAGACCAGGCTGGTCTTAAACTCACAGAGATCCGCCTGCCTCTGCCTCCCGAGTGCTGAGATTAAAGACATGCACTACCACCGCCCGGCTGTGTGTGTGTGCAAAATCTTAAAGGAAGTTATACCACTTAGGCTGACAGTGCTTACCACAAGAACTACAGATTAACAAGAACTCTAGTAATAGTCGTGAGAAACCCCTTTTTGAATGGTTGGTCAGTCCAGGTAACTCCCAAAGCAATATAGACCAATAGTCCTTGGTTACCTCTTGGAGGTTGAGGTAAGCCCATATTGCCAAAGACACTGAAATCTTAGGGCAACGGACTAGACAAATTGAACTGGATCTGACTGGAAAGCTTCCTACCTGAAGGCCAGTTCTTAGTATCAGAAGGTACTATATCAGCTACCAAGGAAGAAAAGTTGTCAACATCGTTACTTGGCTGTAAAACCCGAGAACAACAACTCAATTGCACAGGCATGGCACCCTACCACAACTGCACAGGTGGAAAAGATACCAATACAGTGTACTTATAAACTTCTCAAAAATATAAGAGATAAACATTTGCTACATTAAACCATGAAAGAAATAGCTTCACATCTTTAATTCTGTGTAAGACAATGATTAACTAAAAATCTATTCAACAAATAAGAAAGATGATGTCATTTAATATTTATAATTTATTCCGTAAATTAGTGAACCTAAACTTAATTCATAAATTTTGGTACATACCTTCTTTAAGTTCTCTATTTATACTTTTTTCCAACTCCTGATGCAGCTGAAATGAATTAAATATTTATAATGTTTAAGAAGGCAGAACTTTTTAATTTAGAAATTAATCTTATGTAATATAATACATTTATTTAATATGCAGTATCTGCACCAGATTCCTCTAAATCATAAATATCCACATGTAGGTATTTGGATGCCACCCGTTCTCTTGTCGTTTAAATAGAAAACTTAGGATGCTGCAGGAAAATTGTCATTAGAAGATGTGTGGTAACATTTCAAGCTACACTTGTAGTCACAACTATATTTAATTTCCAAAACCTAACATAAGCATAAATTTTAAAGAAATGTAGTGGCTTAGCTACATTCACTGAATCAAGTAGCAGTGAGCACCTGTTGAAATGAGAACTCTAGGAACTTTAATAATTTTTCTTCTTTAGAATAAATTACTATGACACTAGTATGCACAGGTCAACCAAACAACTCAGTATCATGTATGTATTAAATTAAAAGTGAGAATTTTGTCAGAAACTTGAAACCAAAAGGAAAAAAGAAATATACTAACTTTGGTCAGGTATATTTCCATTCTTTTATTTGATGGCTGTAGGCTTGAGGTAGGAGTCACTATGTTTTCTCTTGGAATAAGAGCTCTGTTGAATACCAAACTATTATGAAGACTTCCAACACAAGGACACTCTGCAACAGGCCTTGTACTAAGAGAGCTTAGTAAGGACCTATTCTGCTGCTCCTCCCAAAGCAGTTTAGTGCTGGCCTCCTCCAGCCTCTCGTTAGTCCTGTGAAGACAAAAGGCAGATACTTAGTGTCTCAAGGCCCCTAATGGGTCCTGAGAAAGGACTGTTTAAAAAGCTGCCATGTGAATACATAGAATATACAACTCAACAGTGACTTAGCATGGAAAACCTGTCAGAACGTAATTACTGAGTATTACAGCTTTATAATTATTCTAAAAAGTGCACGTATTTTTAGAGGAACTCCAAAGTAACTAATAAGTAATTCCAACAAATAGGAGGGAGCGTCATGGCTGTTGAGATGTACGGCTTAACCAGTAACAGTATTGGCTTCCTGAGGGTGACATCAGAAGCACTGTGCTAAGCACTACCTGGGACGGGCGGACTGATTTGTTTCACTACAACAGATACGGCGCTGTGTATAATTAAAACATGTTTCAACCCCTTAGGAGATGAAGTGAAAACTTTCCTCAAGAAAAGTTCAAGTATTTGCTCCCATTACTCAGGATAAACCAATCACCTGACACCAAGGACTAACTCTGAGCAACACCAGGAATGAGGTGCTAGGCTGATGCTTCTGTCCTACATTAACACTTCCCTGCTTCACATGTAAACTTTACACAGACTAGAAAATCTCGTCCATTGTAGTTCATTTATAGGAACCTCTAAGAGAAGTACTAAAGATGACAATCAAAGAAAGTTAAAATACCAAATGCTCATAGTGCCCAGGGGAAGATCAGCAGAACCTGATCCTTGGGTCTAAGTTTTCTTCCCAACAGAAACTCAGTCAAGCTGCTAACACTCCTGTCTGAGGGAATGTGGATAAGCAACTACAACAATATAACTGTCTTCACTATAAAGCTTCTAAAGTAGCTATCTGAAAGCCTCCCAGATCACATTAACTAAGACAAAACAACAAAAAGAATATAAACGGCCCCAAAGTAACGTTCTGAGGGTCACTTACAACATTATTTCCAGTCTTACATTGTCTAGCTAGCCTCCTGGTCCCACGGAAAATGATGCTGACAATAAAGCAGTGAGCTCATTTTCTGAGATTCAAAGTCGTGACTTACTTGTTTAGTTTACTCGACAATGACTTTCTAACTCGGAATTCTTCTTGGTAGAGTTGCTTATATTTTTCTAGTTCTATTTTACCAAAGTCTTCCTGAATTTTCATCATGGAGAGCTGGGATTCCAGGTCTTTGATCCGGAGCTCCATCTGACTCCTCACTGAAGCGTTGCTGTTCTCTCTCAACTGCTCCAGGTTTTCCTGAGATGCTGCCTGTGCCTACAGCAAATAGGAAGAATATACTTTAGGAGTAATCACAATCCAGTCATTACTCATGTGAAAGATGCTTATGCTGGGATTTTAAACACTTAACAACTGTATCAGATGTGAATTAAAAAAACTCAATCTTTTTCATCTTCTGTTGTTTATTTTAGTCCTGGGAACCAAATCCAAGGCCTGGTGCATGCTAGCTGAACACGTCACCACTGCGGAGTATCCCCAGTTTTGAATGACTTCTATGTTAAAAAATCCAATACTTCAAAGAACAAAAGAGTCCCCTTAAAAGTTTAAAGTTTGAACCAGACGACTTAAGAAAAACTCAATTTCTTTATACATCAATTTGTATTCCTTCTAGCAACCATACTTTAAGCAAACGAGCTTTAAAAGTCAAAGATCCTAAGGGAAGATCAAGAGTTATAACAATGGAGAACACGAACACAGGAAGAAGCACATGTCCTCCCTCTAAACCCTAGGAAAAACCAGAGCAAACACTGATGTGTGCAGGCAGGGCACATCTGCAGCGAGACCAACTGCGCGCCCCAGAAACAGAGCGCACCTGCAGGAAGAGGTTGACCTGCTTCAGCTTTTCCACCAGGTCCTGCCTGGCCCGCTCCTCCACCTCCTGCTGGTACTGCTGCACCTGACTGCGCTCCAGCATATTCTCTTCCATGTGACTTCTGAGCCTCCCCACTTCCTCTTCCAGTTTCCTTTTACTCTTCTCTAGTTTCACACACTTCTTCTGTACAGTTTTCATCAACAGCAACTCCTGCTGAAGAACCTGATTTTTTTTACCCAGGTGTAGACATTTTGAAGATGCGGTTTCCAGTTTTGATGTAAGGTCATCAATCTGCAGGAATAAAATGCTACAGTTTGATATGAAGAAGGCAGTATAAAACCAACCACAAACCTAAGTTCAGCTGTAATTAAATATAAATATAAGAAATGATTCTTATAACAAGATTTCTGTTTTCTTTTTGGTCTTTCGAGACAGGATTTCTCTGTGTAGCCCTGGTTCTCCTGGAAATTCCTCTGTAGACCAGGCTGGCCTTGAACTCAGGGATCTGCCTGCCTCTGTCTCCCAAGTACTGGGATTAAAGGTATGTGCTGTCACCACCTGGCCTCTATTTTTACTTTTTAGAGACAATGTTTTGTAAGGCAGTTCAGGCTGTCTTTGAACTGTAATTCTCCTGCCTCAGCTTCCTTGAGTGCTGGGACCAAAGGTATATCACAGTGCCAGCCTCCTGCATTCTACTGAACTAGGAAGCTTTAGTTTGTTTTCTGTGCCAAGAAAATGATGAGCTCTAGTGCTTTTCCTAAGAATCACACACCAGGGTGAGAGAGGATTAGCTGGGACTGGTGGTACACACATGTAGTTTTAGGGCTCAGGAGACCGAGAAAGGAGGACCTTGAGTTCAAGGCTAGCTTGGGCTCCATGGCTAGCTCCTAAGAGGAAACATGAAAGGAGGAAGGAAAGAAACAGAAAGAATTCAAATCTGAACTCTAAAATCAGCTTAATTTCCAATGAAAAAAACCAGAAGCTCAGACTTAATCTTCTTTAGAGTAGGCAGAGATCCTCAGATGATCTTATAAACTGTTATGCATTAATGAAATACAGTGCAGTAAATACAAATGTGCTGAGTTAGTAGGTCATGTGCCCTAGATTGGAGACAAATATAAGTGAAAAGAGGAACACTGGAAAGAAATCAAAAGTTTAAATTAAGAAAGAGCTAATGAGCCAGGTAGTGGTGGCTCATGCCTTTAATCCCAGCACTCGGAAGGCAGAGGCAGGTGGATCTCTGTGAGTTCGAGGCCAGGCTGGACCGACAGCCTCCAAAACAATACAGAGAAACCCTGTCTCGTAAAACCAAAAAAAAAAAAAAAAAAAAAAAAAAAAAAAAGAAAGAAAAGAGCTAATGAATGGGGAATGGGCCCTGTCTCTACAGGTCTACCTTCACATGTGTCGGGAATCAGCAAGGCCAGAAATGGCCACAGGCTTCTTCTAGTTGCAAAACAATGTTTTCACAGGCATGAAATTAAAGGGCTTCTACGATGTTGCGCTTTCTTATTACCTAAGGCATGTAGCAATATGCAACATAACCGGAAAGTTCTCCCTTGAGAACCCAGCTTGATTTGGTACTGGCCTGGGGAGAGACATGCGAAACAATGGGAAAGAAGTGTTACCAAGGCCCCGAAGAAACTGTCAACCCCAACAGTGTGGGGACACAGTGCAGCCACTCTGGAAGTGCACTGGCAGTGGCAGCTGCTCACTTGTCTAGCAGTTTCCAAATGACTCTGCAGTTCCTGAGTACTCAAGGAACAATGAAAATAGATGCAAGCTATACTTGTCCATAGCAATGTTACTAATACCTGACTAAAGGGGAAGAAGTAAGTGACAAAGAGCTAATGTGTGTTCTGTCAAAGGACAGGGCATTACTCAGCAACAAGAAGACATCTTGCTACAGCACAGACGGACCCTGAATAGTGTTAAGTGAAAGGAGCCAGCACACACACTGTGATTCCACTGACATGTAGCAAGAAATATTCTGAAGTGGTAGCGATTATACTATTCTATGATTATGATATGGGATATGCTAACTATATCCCAATAAAGCTGCTACCGATAAATAAATAAAAAGACTTGGGACTCATGATTTAGTATCATATAATGATGAACTGCAGCCTGGGTTCAAGATGTAAGATCAACAGCATGACTTTCTAGTAGAAAATAATACAATTTTCATTGACATCAAGTCTATAAAATAAAACAATATAAAAACTTCAATGAATCCAGAGATTTAGATTATTTAAAAGTAAGTTATTTTGGGGCCCCAAAACTGATTAAAAATTACCTTGTTTATTAGCATATTAACTGAGATATCCATTTCAAATTGACTGTTTTTTCTATCTTGATTGAGATTAAGTTCTCTGTTTTCATGTTCATTTAATTCCTTTTTGGTCATTTTTAAGAGTTCCTTAAATCTGCAAAAGTGCATAGAATAAGTCAAGTCTTTAAAGAGTACATTCAATAGTTTTTTAAACATACTATATTCTATCATATAAAAGAGATACATTTGTAAATTGTGACCCTATCTTATTTGTATACCTAAAATCTGAAAGCATTCTAATGAAATTAAAATCTTATGTAAACAATGTGAAGAAAAATTCATGCTATGTATGGAAGATAGAGCTAATATTGTAACTATGTATAGAATACCTACATTTATATCCATTTTAGTATGTTAATATAAAACACTTACATATTAACTGTAACCCAGGTATCAGTAAGCAGGGAGAAGGCATATGAATCCTCTTTATTGCCTGTTGGCACTCTTCTCCAAGACAAAGCACAAACAAACCAGCACTGAGGACATAGCAGGGGGAAGTGAGGAGGAACTGGGAGGAGAGGGAGGGGAAACTGCAATCAGACATAGGATATGAGTAAAGAATCTTAGTATGTGTATGTGTGTACCGTGTGTATATCATGCATGCACCTGTATACATATATGTGTATATATATGTGTGTGTATCTATGATTGTATATCATATATGTATAAAAAACAAAACAAAAAAAAAGAATCTATATTCCCCTCCACCACCAAACAAGGTTTCTCTATATAACACTCCTGGCTGTCCTAGAACTCACTCTGTAGAGCAGACTGGCCTCAAACTCACAGAGACCCACCTGCCTCTGCCTCCAAGTGCTGGGATTAAAGATGTGTGCCAATACTGCTTGACAAGAATCTATTTTCAATAACGGGAGAGCTGATGGCAGAAACACAAATGCTCATTTCACTGTACTTAAGTTGTTTGTATATTTTTGTAAGCATGAGACATGCAATCAGCTCTCTGTACTTGTGGGTTCCACATTTAAATAACTTTGCATTAAAAACACTGAAAAAGGAAAAACTGCACTTACACTAAACACATATAAATCCTTTTCCTTGCCATTATTCCCTAAACAACACAGTATAACAATTGCTTAATCAACATTTATACTTTATTTGGAATTTTGAGTAACTAGAGAGGAGAGACAGTATATTGGAGGTTGAGAATAGGATAAATGCAAATAGAACACCATTTTATTTCAGGGGCCCAAGAATCCATGGATTTTGCTATCTGCAGGGAGTCCTAGACCTAATCTCCTGCACATGCCATAGCAGAGGCTTATTGGTTTTACTGAAAGCCCCACCTCATTTAGGCCAGTGGATGTCCAGTGGGAAACTCAAAGCACATAAAAGTTTGTCCTTCATTCTTAATCCTTTTTTTGACCCTGAAATGTGGGTTATTTTCTTGTCCAAATCCACAGATATATTAGTCATTTTATTTATTTATTTATTTTATTTTTTTACGAGACAGGGTTTCTCTGTATTGTTTTGGAGGCTGTCGGTCCAGCCCGGCCTTGAACTCACAGAGATCTACCTGCCTCTGCCTCCCGAGTGCTGGGATTAAAGGCTTGCGCCACCAACACCCGGCTATATTAGTCATTTAAGGAGAGTTTATCTACAGCTAGCTGGCAATCCTCCTTATAAAGACACATAAGTAATAAGATATTTTTAAGATGTTTGGGGACAAGATATATTGACAGACTGTCAAATACCAACTTTTATAGTTCCAGGCCCCTGGTGCGACACCTGGAAATCTCCAGTCATTACTCTAAACCCAAGGGAACTGATTCTGTCTTCCCTTTCAGGGATGACCTTTTCTCTGGTTCACCTTGTGACTTTTGACTCACTGTAGTGACCCTGGATTATAGGAATAGTAGACATTATCTATAAACATGTTGAGGCAACAGTCAAAGCTACTTCTAGACAGCATCCACCTTACAGATAAGGTTACCCAAGGGCATCCTCAGAAAATGATCGACTGGATACCATTCTGACACAAGCATACTTCTCGCTCATCCCCAATCTTTCTCTAAAATAATCCTGACTCTCTTCACAGAGCCCTGATGGCAGGGGACCCCAATTTCTTTCCAGTATGAGTATTCCAAACAAATTCCTGCATTTGGTCAACTGGAAAGAGGAGCTAAACTGGCCTCTTGGAGACCCTCAGAGTCAGGCCTCTGTCAAGAGTCTGGTAACAGTACTAAGGGATGAGTATATAGTATATATGAATGTGTATTTAAATTTTTTCAAATATAGGTTCAATATCGTGTAAACCTCATGTACACATTGGAGATGCCAATGGAACAATAGTTTGTCTCCATGATAAACTTTTGTAACTAAAAAGAGAAAGAAAATATGTTATATAATTTCTGATATAATTAAAGAAAAATACAAAAAGGTTTTTAAGATATCAAAATGCCTAAATGGTGACAGAAAGGATACTATAAAAGAAGGAAAAAGATTAAAATTATGCTCAAAAATGAAACTTCAGTTGGGCAGTGGTGGCGCATGCCTTGAATCCTAGGGCTGGGAAGGCAGATGCAGGCAGATCTCTGTGAGTTCAAGGCCAGCCTGGTTGGCAGAGGGAGTTCCAGGACAACCAGAGCTACACAGGGAAACCCTGTCTCAGAATACCAAAAAAAAAAAAAAAAAAAGAAAGAAAGAAACTTCAAACTTGATGAACAGTTCAGTTGACATCATATGCCAAAGGCATTACCATTATCGTAAGGAACTTTAAAGAGTAAAAGTAATGTTTTAGCAATCAAAAAACTTTAGTCTTTACTGCAAGTTTTTGAAGTAAATTTTAAAATAATCATGAAAATGCAGACAGGAAATGAATTTGTTATTTAGAAATTTGTTAAGTCAATTAAGAATGGCTGAGAAGCAGATGGGGGAGGGGGAAGAGTCGGGGAACGGGAGGAGAGGAGAGAGGGGGACCTGGGATTGAAATGTAAAAAGTAAATTAATAAAAGAATGGAGGAAGAGACTGAAATAAAAACCTTACTCTGTCAGTTCTTTTTCTAATGAATCATTTTTCTTCTGTTCTTGGTCCAAAGTATATTCCAGAGATTCTTTCAACTCAGCAAGTTTCTTCAGTTTTTCTTTGTCCTCTTCAGACTTTAAAATAATTTTTAAAGAAAAAATATTATTTTGCAGGAGTTCGTGTATGTTGCTGTTTATATAGATCTATAAACCCGATGCCAATGTGGTTAATTTTGACTGTCAACTTGATTGGATAAAGAGCCAACTAGGGTGAATCTGGGTATATCTGTGATGCTCTGCCAGAGACAAATAGACTATCAGGGTTCTGACTTAAGCATTTAAAATATGATGGTAATATCAGGTGGTGACAAAAAGGGTGGAGCCTAGGTGGAAGAAGTGAGTAGAGGTTTGTCTCTGGAGGCTGCATCCTGCCATGACCTCTTCCTGTCTGCCCTGTTCCCTGCGTTCACCTGCTCCTACTGCCAGACACTCTGCTTACAACTAGCCCAGAAACACAGCCGAGTGACCACAGACTGAGCTTTCTGAAAGAGTCAAAAGAGTAATTTCACTCTTTCAAATTGTTTGTGTACGCCAGGCATCTGGTCACAGAAGTCATAAAAGGAATACAGAGACAGATGTTTGAAACAGCTCAAACCAAGTTATATTTTCATCATTATCCTCCCTGGAATTTAAACTGCCAATTATTTTAAAGTTTTTACACATAAATATACCATGAATATCTAGAGAAGTTAGAGGCTACTAATTGAATTGGGTAAAAGCTATCTTTCAGCAATTTTTGTTCACAATTATTTATTTGGTATGAGTGTAAGTGTGTGTGTGTGAGAGAGAGAGAGAGAGAGAGAGAGAGAGAGAGAGAGAGAGAGAGAGAGAGAGAGAAAGAGGAAGAGAAAGAGAGAGGGAGGGAGGGAGGGTGAAGAAAAACCCACAAAATGCAAATTTAAATTTAAATCTTAATGCATTTCTTTAAGACACCTATATAGCAGGACATCTTTTAACAGTCTCATTTACAGAAGACTTCTCACATGTTATCATGTTAGGAAATATCAAATCAAACAGAAACTATTCTTCAGTGTTTCTTTTCCAGAAGACTCCTCACATCTTATCATGTTAGGAAACATCAATTGAAACAGAAACTATTCTTCAGTGTTTCTTTTCCAGAAGACTCCTCACATCTTATCATGTTAGGAAACATCAATTGAAACAGAAACTATTCTTCAGTGTTTCTTTGGCCACAGGAAAGAAAAATCAACATAAATATTCTAGACTACCTGGTAGATGTGCCTTTGGGATGAATCACACAGTGTGGCTTTGATGGCTGAAGTCGGCAGTGAGAACAACTCTGATTGGTGTCCAATGCATCTATCTTGTGATCGTTTCTAGCATTAACTATGCTTTTGTTTTTGTTTTGTTTTCTTTTACTTCAAAGTGGAAAACAGCTCAGGGGGGGATGGCACTAGTATCATGATTTGGTATCCATTTTTGATGAATACAAATTATAAGCAATTAACTCTCAAATATCTCAGTGAAAGTCTTTGATTACTAAAAAATTCAGAGAGAAACCAGAAATTCAGAAGTCTAGATCAAATAACTTAAATTTCTTAGAATTCAAAAATTACTGTAAAGTACTAGTGGGGCAATATTGTCCAATGTCCATAGTAACATTACATCTATTAACCAAAAGGCAAAGGTAACTCACAAGTTCACCAATGGAGAGAAGTGTAAATAAGATGTGGTATTACAAATCACTAGGCTATCACAGTCCTTTTATTAAAATGTTAGTACTGAAATCATTAATTTACAAACTCAGTCAAGTTCTCTAGTTCTCTATAGAGAGAAGGACTTGTACTGTGAGGACAAACAGTGTGAACAGAACACAACACTGACACTTGGCACACCCATGTTCAGCAGTACTGCAGGACTGCCCATTGTAGCCCCACAGTACAACTCTAGGCAGACCCTCCCTCTTAGCATCAAAGGATCCAGGAAGAGGATCACTTACCAAATTCACACTTGATAGGTTTTCCTGAAGTTGCTCAATTTTCTCTGATTGCTTTTGTATTGTAATTTTAAACTTGGAGTTTTCAAGTTCAAGCCTAAAATTACATTTTAAAATAATTATATTTACAAAGCAATTTAAAAATTCTCACAGTTTCTGAAAAATCAATTGAGTCACTACATACATTCCTTTTTTTTTTTGTTTTTGTTTTTGTTTTTTTCGAGACAGGGTTTCTCTGTATTGTTTTGGAGGCTGTCCTGGAACTCACTCTGTAGACCAGGCTGGCCTCGAACTCACAGAGATCTGCCTGCCTCTGCCTCCCGAGTGCTGGGATTAAAGACATGCACCACCAACGCCTGGCCTACATACATTCTTAAGGTTCTGAAATACAGATGATTGGATAACTATAATTTTTTCAATATGTTTTGTGGAACAGGCACAGGCTACATTCCTAATTGCATATCCCTATTCAAAGGTATGCATTTGAAGAAACTCAGAGATGAGACTCTACTTCAGAGAGACTACTATTAGAACTGCCACACTGTACTGCTCATTTGCTTTATAAACACTGGAGTCACACAGCTGCCACACTGCATTGCTTATTTGCTTTATAAACACTGGAGTTACGAAGTTTAAATGGTACTTTTGTAGGTGGTCTTGCATCTTCTCAGCACGATGTAAAGCCTCTCTGTGTTGATCCTGTGCTTCTTGCAACTGGAATAAAGAATAAAACAAACCTTTACAAATCATCTATTCTAAAACTGCACACCTCATTCCCTGACCTGCAGTGTTCTCTGCAGCAAAAGCAAATTAAACTGAGTTGCTGTCAACAGGGATCTTACACCCTCAACAACTAAAATATTACCTCGCCCTCTTACAGAAAAGTTTGCCAATGTCTGCTCTATGACTAACAGTCCATTTATAAACCATAATCTACTATTGCCTGGCTAGCTCTGCCAGAAAAGTCTTTAATTGTACCCTACCAGATATGCAAACTGATAACACTGGTGAAACCTAGAAAAAAGGGAATTTCTGATAGCAAGCATTTGTATTTCTGTATTTCAACCACCATCTTGTCAACTGCCATTTTAAGAGTTCTTACACATATGTGCTAAGTATCTACATATTTACAAATTGCCACCGCTCTGTCAGTTATGATGAGCATGGCGTTTTAATGATAGCTGGTTGTCTTATGAAGTAGTTTCAGTGGAGGTATATCCACGCAGAAGCCGGAACACTGTTGCAGGATATCTGATCACACTGTGAACGCCCAGATTGTGCTGTTTACTAGAAAACCCTTTTTCCAGTTGTGGTGTGGCTCAATCCTAGCACACCTTTAATCCAGGAGTTTTCTGCTTGAATACTTTAAACAGGATTAAATACAGTCAACCATAGGTCAAGAGGAGAGCAAGCAACAGGAAGTGAAGATAGGATAATTAAGAAAAGACACTAGCGAGTAAGAGGGACTCAGGAAGACAGGGAGAGAGAGACTTGCAGGAAGGACACTTGAGTTTCAGAGTTTGTTGTTGTTGTTGTTGAGACATCAGAAGAGAAACAGTCTTTTCCAGGGAGGTCAGCTGAGGAGGAAGGTCAGCTGGATGCCTTTGCTGCCTTTCTGAGCTAGCAGGCTTTCACCCCAGCATCTGGCTTCTGAGTCTTTATTGGTAAAATCAACTATTAAGATTTTGATAAAAACAACAGAATGCTTGGGTCCAAAGACCCCTCCCCCACCAGCTGCTAGATATACAGATTCTGAGCAAATGAACTTTCTAAATGGAAATAATCCTATCCATATCAATGAACTACTAAAAGATTAGAGAATATAAGTAAAGTACTTGAACTGTACATGGCAGTGAGTGAGATTTTAGGTGGGTGCTATGGCAACCGTAGAAGTCCTTTATTCAATCTGTATTGGCTTATCCTCATGTAACTAAATGTGGCAGGAAAAGGGGAGAATGAGGCCCATACTATATCTCTAGTACTTCGTGCAACTTCCAGAAATTTCACTGGCCTCCAGTAACTTTGTCCATGTAGAATACTTTTTAGCTTCTTTTTATTTTATACTACTCAGCCAGTGAGGATCATACAGTGCAATGAAAACAGTGTTTCCTGGTGTAAGTAGTAAATGGAGTGACAATCAGAGGCTGAAAATATGGGGCTCTGTTGACAAACTGAGGTTCCTAAATTAACTCACTCCCCCAAAGTATGTTGGGTTGCTTTATCCAGGCTCTAATGGTACATGAAGGTTTTGTTTTTGTTTTGTTTTGTTCTGGTTTGGTTTTACGAGACAGGGTTTCTCTGTATTGTTTTGGAGGCTGTCAGACCAGCCAGGCCTTGAACTCACAGAGATCCATCTGCGTCTGCCTCCCGAGTGCTGGGATTAAAGGTGTGCGCCACCACCGCCCGGCACATGAAGGTTTTGAAGTATGGAATACCAGAAAAGATGTAGACAGAGCTTTGCAGTTGGCCAACTTCTATAGACTTATAAATCTCAACTCTGGCTATACAATGAAAGAAGACAAATGCAGTTATTTTTTTCTCACAGTGAAGAAAAAAATGTTCGATAGAACATTTTCCCGCTATTAGATTGTGTACTTTCCATTTCATATGCAATTCCTTAAAATATATTAAGAATAAGAGCCTTACTATAGGGACTAGGTATATAAGTCAGCTGGTAAAGTGCTTGCCTGGCATGCATGAAGCCCTGGGTTAGAGCCTCAGCAATACATAAACCAAGCATGGTGGCATTTGTCTATAACTGCAGCATTTGGGAGATGCAGACAGGAGGATCAGAAGTTCAAAGCCACCTTCAGCTATATAACAGTTTGAAGTCATCCACATGAGACCATGTCTCAAAAAAAAAGGTCTTATCACCTTAATGCCTCAAAAGAAGTAATTACTGGAATGGTATGAAATACTTAATTTTATTCTAATGATTACTAAGCAAAAACATTTTCAATTTATTCAAGAATATATACATACCAGACATCAACCCTTTAGGTAAATTTATATCCCAGTAAGATGTTCTCTCATACAAATAACATGAAAGAAACCAACCAAAGAATCAAAACACAGTTAAGAGTAATGGAAACCAGGATGTTCAAGTGAGGTAAACTGAGTCAGGAGTCAGGGAAGGTTTCATGAAAATGTTAACTGTGAGTCAGTTCCAAATTAAAGGAGGCAAAAAGAAAAAGATCTGAGAAGATAAAAAAGGCAGGATGAGTAAAGACATATAGGTGGTGGAGTCAGCCTAGTTAACTAAGATGATAAAACCCCACAGCAGGGAAACAGCAACATAATAAATGGGAAAGTACCCTGTAAACAACAGTTCACTAGCACATAGTATAGCGACAGCATATGACTTGACAACAGAAAGATAGGAAGGGCTGACAACATCATGCTGAGAGCCATTCAAAAGGACTAAACACTGCATGATATAAATGCTCAAAAAAAAGAAATTATATACAGAGATAGATTGATGTGTCTCGGGAAGATGGAAGGACTAGGGGACAAGAGACTCATGGTTTATTCAAGATCATGAAAACATTCTAATTAACTGTGATGACTATGCAACTCCGTGAATACCCTAGAGATGCTGATTTTTACTTAAGTAGTACGCTATGCATTTCATTATAGCTCAATAGCGTTCCTCTGTTAAAAAAATTCAGTGTCAAGCCAGGTGTACTGGGGCCTGCTTATAACCTCAGCACTTGAGAGGAGGAGGCAGGGGGATGGCTGCAAACTAGAGGAGAGCCTGCTACTCATCTACTTCTAGACCACCTGGAGCTACAGAGAGTCTAAAACAAACCACGCAGAAAACACGCAGGACCTAGATACTGTTTTTCATTCTGTTTTTGGATATGAGCCCTATATATGATCTGAATATTTCCATGTGGTTATATTTCTAAATGAAAGAAATGCCTAGCTTTGGAGGCAGGTTTCAAATACCCTAAAACCTGTCTCTGGCACAAGGGATCGAGCAAACATTCTGTCGCCTGAGCATACTCCTCAGTCCTTTTACAAGTTTTTCAGGTTGGCCACAAATTCTTGCCTGGGTCTCCCAAGTAGCTTAGATTACAGGTAGCACACATATGGCCTTTCTGTACAAGTTACCTTGAAATCCATTAAATACATATCAAAGATACTGTTTCTATTCACAAAAGCGAGGATAAGAAGGAAGCCGATTTTCTGCACTTTCCATAGACACCATCTCTGGTTTAACCTACTGTGCCTCAACTGCAACAGAAATATCTCTGAGGAAAGATATATAGTTCTCAATTTTCCTGGGATGAATTTTTTAAAAAGGCTTACAAAAATATAAGAAAAAAAATGGGGCCAATGAGATGGCTTTGGGGGTCTGAAGGCACTGGGGGCTGTGTGGTAGAAGAGGGGCAGATACCGCCCCTGACACACACACACACACACACACACACACAGACACACACATACACACACAGACAGACATACACACACACACACACACACAGACAGACAGACACACACACACAGACACACACACACAGACATACACAGACACACACACACACAGACACACACACACAGACACACAGACATAACACACACACAGACACACACACAGACACACACACAGACACACACAGACATACACACACACAGACACACAGACAGACACACACAGACATAACACACACACACAGACACACACACAGACAGACACACAGAGACATACACACACAGACAGACACACACATACACACACAGACAGACACACACAGACATACACACACACAGACACACAGACACACACACACATACACAGACAGACACACACATACACACACAGACAGACACACAGACACAGACACACACACACACACAGACAGACAGACAGACAGACACACACACACACACACACACACACACGTTAGTCTCTGACCTCCACTGGAATGACGCAGCATGCTTGGCCTGTTCCCCCACAAAAAAATAAAGGCATTTTTTTAAAGTCAAATTAAAAATAAATAACAGAATAAAACTGGAATTTAAAAAATTAGTTCATTATAAAGATAATGGCAAGTTACAATGAAAATATAAAAGAAAGCTGTGTACTGAAATTATCCTAAAGCTATATTATTTAATAAGCTGTACATGAGCAGTTGACATATTGTATTTCATACATACTTGATTTCTGATTTGACTTAATTTCTTCTTTAAATCTCGTGCCTCGTCTTCTAAATTACTACGGTAACGTGAGGAAACTTCTAGCGAAGCCTCCGACATTGACTGCTTTTTCAGAGTGTCAGCCAGTTCCTGTTGAAGTTGCCTCACAACTACCTGGGAAGATACCAATTTCATACATTATATCACAACATATATTCTACCAGTTAGCGCTTCCAAATACTCTGAAGAACATCACTGCATATAGTAGTATATGTATCAATTTGGTGGGAGCAAATTCTACATTGTAGAACCATATTTTATATCTTCATTCTTAACTGACATGTAAAGACATAACACTGCACATATTAGCAAGGTACCACATATTTTGATACATGTACACATTAATGCTTAAATCAAGTTAGACACAATTATGATTCCTAACACTGATCATTTCTTCATGGCGAAACATACAGTATATTACTGTTTGGTAGCTCCACGTTTCCTGCTTTTAACTGTAATTGAGCACCAACTGACAGACTGCCTCCCATCCCTCTTCTTCTCACCCCAATCTCTGGGAACCACTACTGTACACCGGAGTGTAGGGGTGTCTCTGTGTCTCTCTCTGTGTCTCTCTCTGTGTCTCTCTCTGTGTCTCTCTCTGTCTCTCTCTCTCTCTCTCTTGTGTGTAAGTGCTTTCTCCTGTTAATAAAAATATTTGTTTTCACATTACATTGGTTCACATACAGCTGGTGTCAGAACCAAAAGCCTACACCTTCAATGGAATGTTTAAGAAACCAGCTTTCTTTGGCCGGGTGTGGGTGGCACATGGCTTTAATCCCAGCACTAGGGAGGCAGAGGCAGGCGGATCTCTGTGAGTTCTAGGCCAACCTGGTCTACAGAGCGAGTTCCAGGACAGCCTCCAAAACTATACAGAGAAACCCTGTCTCGAAAGGAAAAAAAAAATAAATAAGTTTAAAATCTACTTGTCTTTTTGGATACTCACTTCTCTTTCTGCTTTCTCGTTTTCATACTGACACACTCTCTCTTTTAAGTGACTGCACTCACTGACTAATTCCTTATTTCTGTCTTCCAGCAGCAGTCTGTGCTTCTGGCCCTCAGCTTGGAGTCTGCTTATCACGTCATGGAACTGGTCTTGGATATCAACTATTGTCTTGTCTTTGCTGTCAGCTTTGTTGGAAGCATCATCTAACTGCTGTCGCAGTAACATGTTTTCACTCTGCAGCTGAGACAGCCTCTCCTCGATGGATTCCTGCTTCCCCATGTACTTGGTCACCTTCCCTTGCTCATCCTGATACATATGCTCAACTTCCTTCATTTGGCACTGTGTCTGGTTGAGGTCTCTTTGTACATGTTTCAAAGCCAAAGTCTTTTCTCTAAGCGCATCTTTAGTATGATGAAACTCATTTTCCAGGCTATTCAATTTTCTTTCAGTTTTAGAAAGTTGTTGGGAGAGAATCTCATTGTTATCTCTGAGGTTAGACATATCAAAATTCATCTTGTCTTGCAAACGAACCCACTCATCTCTTGCCCTCTGGAAAGCAATTTCTAGGTCTCTTTTTGATGTCTGAATCTCAGCATGGTCATGCATAGCAGAAGCCAGTCTAGATCGGAATGATTCGACATCTGTTTCCAGTCTTTCTTTATTTTGTTTTTCATTCTCCAGCTTAGAACTCAGCATTGTGTTTTCAGTTGTAAGATTATTAATCTGTCCATTGTATTGGAATATTGTTTTTGTAAATGTTTCTTCATTCAGCTTTATCATTCTTTGAAGTTTATCGCTCTTTTCATTTGCAGTCTTAATATCCTCCAGGTACTTCTTCTCCTTTTCCTGGCTGTGGGTCTTTACTGTGTTCATCTCCAGTCTTAACATGGCAATTTCATCCTGTAACCGCTGGTTTTTATGCAATAGATCTTTTTCTTTTTCATGACTAACAGACACCTAAGTAAGGAAATAAACATTTAGCCAGCACAATTTCTTACAGAATTCAAGAACAACAAGTGAAGTCCTACAATCTAAGAATTGAAATATATAGATGCAACTAAAAAAAATCTAATTTCAGAGCTTACAGGAGTATAAATTCCCAAAAGTTCATAAGCATAATTGAAGACAATGACTTTATGAAAAAGTAATGCTACTTTTTAAGAAACTCAGCACTGGAAAAGCCTTTCTCTGGATTACAACAGGCTTAAGGCACAAAGTAAAGATTCCTAAATTGGTTCACATTTCACATCAGGAGACAGCTTAGTGCAAGTGAGGGGACCAGAATATGGCTCCCCCGCACCCATGCAGCCCACCTGCAGTCCCAGCACATGGGAAGCAGAGATGGGAGACTCCACAAGCTGACTAGCTGGACCAGCCAAGTTGGTTCTGTGAGAGTCCCTGCATCAATACCTGAAGTGCAGAGTGATCAAAAAGACACCTCACATCAAAGTCTGACTTCTACATGCATGCACATGCATGTGCTCCAAACAGATATGAACATGCACGCACGCACGAATAAGAAAGAGCCTTAGTTTTTTCATTTGGACAGAAGAAATTTACCAAAGTTTTTTAATCCCTATTTTTCAGCACATCTCTCTAACACTTTGTCATAGGAACTACATTTATTGATAAATGCTCAAAATAAACACTACACAAACAAGTACGCTTGCACACATGAGTGGCCTCGTCACCACCATTCTGAAAAGCAGAGATTAAAAATGTAACAAGCTGCAGAATTCCCAGGGCCCCTGACCCTGCTGCAAGTGCTCCTTCACCAAAGCACTTACTCCAACGTTAGACAGTGGAGGGATACTTCTGCCATCTACTCCTGAAACACGTGTACTATGTATACATACATATGGCTCAAAATCCTCTATATTTTCCATGGAGCATAAGGTTGGTTCTGAAAATATGTAAATATGTAAATATACACATATTTAGAAAACTAAAGAAAATACCTCAGAAGTCATTTTCTTCTGTGCCATTTCTATCTCCTTCTGTTTGGAAAGATGATTTGCAAGAATTCCATCTTGTAACATTCTGGCATTTTGCTCTTGGGAAAGCTGCCTCTGAATCTCATTTCGTTCCTCTAAAATCTAGAGATACATTTCATAAAGTTTTCAGTCTCATACTATTGTGCCACTGTGGACAGGGCATCTAAAAGCTTATTAAAGAATAGAACATTAGAAACAATCTAGAAGCAGCTCATGAAAATATGTGTACTCTACCCCATAGGAAATACTTAAATTTGTATTGCATATAATAGTTACATTGCTTAAAAAGGAAAAACAGTTCTTATAGACACAAAGAGCATTGTAAACTAGTTGGTTACAAACATTTAACTAGTTTTAACAGAGTTTCAAAGTCTGTTAGCCTTTATCTTAAAAGAGTCAGACCAACACTTATCTTCCAGAGTAAACTTAAATTACATTCCATTACCTCACTCAGAAAAGATGTCTTTAGTACCTATTAGTTTCCAAGAGTCATAATAAATAATTTCAGCTATCTATGTTTAAATTTATTCTTAGTATGAGGTACCACCCATCAACAATCTGTATATATCCTGGTGGCCGCCCATAAGTACATCAACTTGTGATGAGGCTGATGTCTGACATGCTCATGATATTTGCATAACAATGAAACCAACAGATAGTTTCATTAAGTGGGACACAGAGATATATATGTGACGTGTGTATAAATATAATATGTAATTAAAGTGACATTAAAGGTATAACAAATAGAGCCGGGCGGTGGTGGCGCACGCCTTTAATCCCAGCACTCGGGAGGCAGACGCAGATGGATCTCTGTTAGTTTGAGGCCGGGCTGGACCGACAGCCTCCAAAACAATACAGCAAAACCCTGTCTCGTAAAAACCAAAAAAAAAAAAAAAAAAAGTATAACAAATAAAGGTAGGAGTAAGAAATTTTTATCATCCAAGAACACCTTTAGTTCCAGCACTTGGGAGGCAGAGGCAGGCAGATTTGAGTTCAAGGTCAGCCTGCTCTTCATAGTGAATTCCAGGACATCCAAGGTTATGTAGAGAAATCCTGTTTCGAGAAAAACCACCCCCGACAAAACCTCAACCAACCCCCCCCCCAAAAAAAACAAAAGAAATTTTTATAAAGATTAACTTACCTGGTTCAAATGATTTCTTACTGTCTTCAACTCCATATCCAGTGTTCTGAGAGAGACTTCAAGCTGTTGCTTCTCGTCAACCTCATTCTGATATTGCTCATCTTTCCTCCTAAGCTGCTCCATAGTTTTCTCAGAAAGCTGATCTGCACTTCTCCGCTTCTCTTCCTCTTGTTTTAGTGCAAATCTGAAATTATATGTGTCCTATCATAAAATTAACCAGTTTATACAAAATGAAGTTCAAGATGGTGACGTGCTGTCCTAGTAAGATCTCTGTTGTTAAATAATTGTTCCCCAGCCAGGTGGTGGTGGTTCACACCTTTAATCTCAGGACTCAGGAGGCAGAGGCAGGCAGATCTCAGTGAGTTCCAGGACAGCCTGGTCTACAGAGTGAGTTCCAGGACAGCCTGGTCTACAGAGTGAGTTCCAGGACAGCCAGCGCTACACAGAGAAACCCTGTCTTGAAAAAACAAACTAACAGACACTGATAATGGAGAAGAAATGAGGACCAGATACAAGTCCACACTCCTATGCTACCTGACTTTCTACAAAGATTCAGAGACACACAATGGAAAACTAACAGCATCAACAAATGCTGCTGGTCAAACTGGATACCGACACACAGAAAACCTAGATCCTTCTCTCTCACCCTACACAAAACTCAATTCCCAACTGGTCAGGAACCTCAACCTGAATCAGGACCTGAACTGGACAGGGCAGAAAATCAGGAGCACTGATCTGGGGAGCAAGTGGGCATTCTGTAGTGGACTGAGACTTTGGGAAACATGGTTGTGGGCTCTTGTCCAGCAGGAGGGAGTTTGAAAAGGTGGTGAGTGAGACAGCAGAGCTATGATGGCTGGGGTAACAGAGATGTGGCCTTGCATTGGGGGAGCTAGGATGGTCCTAATGTGTAGTGGTTTGATTCCAGTGGGCAGGGATGTGCCCTCTCATCCAGGGGGTGATTAGCACATGTCATGATATGACAGGCTTAAGTAAGGTATGAGGGACCTTAAGCAAGACACTGGGGGAAACCATCTCCTGTGTGGTAAATCGATGCTCCTTGATATTCAGGTGGTAAGATTAGAACACCAGACAAAGGAGGAGTGAGGTTTTACATCTGGAGAAAGCAGGTACTCAGCCAAAGAAGGCAGAGATGGGGTGCTGAAGAGCAGGGTAAGTGGAGACTCATGTGCAAGCAAGAGCTGCAAAGGTGTCCTGGGACGGCAAGCTTTGAGTGCCAGAGGGCACAGTGGGCGATCTTCCTGCAGATCTTCAGATGCCGGAAGGCTATGGATCAACCTACCAAGCAAGAGGTGAGGTCCTGCAAAGCAAGAGGCAGGAGCCCAAGAATGGTGGGTTTACAGTGCAGAAGTTACAGAGAGGGTGAAAACTGCAGAGCAGATTAGGACTGTCTGCAGGGTGGGTGACTGGAGTGCTGCGAGGTAGGGCTGTGATGTCCCAGAGAGGAGAGCAGGCCTTACAGGTAGTGAGTCAGGCGCAGGTCCAGACTGGGGGGCCTAGGGAAGGGAGCAAAGTGGCCCTTACTGCCAGCATGTATGGAGGGAGTCCTGGAAGGGGGTGGGAATTTGAAGTGGCCAAGGGATGATAAAAGGAATACCATTAGTGGTAATGTATGGGGCATGGGGCATGGGGCATGGGGAGGCAGTGGAGTTGGGGTACCCGGAAGAGGAAGGAAGGCCCTTTCTGGAAACATGTGGAGGGGTTCTGGGAAGGCTGAATGTTTGGGATGGCTGAGGGAAATGGATAATAAGCCGATGCTGGCACCTTGTGTGGCAGTGGGGAGACCTTGGAAGGTGGGGGCTTAGGGCAGCCATGAGAGGAGGAAAGGTCCTTAGGACCAATATGTGTAGCAGGACCCTGGGGAGATTACAGAGATCTGCGGTAGTTATGGGAGGAGAGCAGTCTCTGAAAGGCAATGCGTGTGGTGTTGGTCCTGGGAAGGCTGCAGGGTTTGGGGTACCTGAGGGAGAAACTCAACCAGACAACCCTTATCCCTGATGTACTCTATATACAATCAACATCTAAACATCAGCAGTCTACCAGTAATGGACTTCCTGAGAAAGAAATTGGGGAAATCTCATTCATAATAGATTAAAAGAAAATAAAACAGCATGATACAACTTGGGAATAAAAGTCACAAGGTAAAAGACATCTACAATGAAAACTTTACGACACTGAAGAAGATGCTAGGAAGTAAAGACCCCCCATGCTCATGAACTGACAGAATTAATTTAGCAGAAACTACCAAAAGCTAACTACAGATTAAACATACACTTCATGACATCAAACATACATTCATCCTCCCTCCCTCCCTAATTTCCGTGTATATATTACATAGAAATCACAAGGCTGTGTGATGAGCTCAAGTATTCATATTATATACTGGACACTTTTTAAAAAGTAAATAATTATATAGAAAGCAACTTATATCAGTATTCTAATATAAAACAAAATTTAAAAGTTATTTGTTCTGCTGGTCAGTGGTAGAGCACACCTTTAATTCCAGCACTTGGAAGGCAGAGGCAGGCGAATCTCTGTGAGAGTTCTAGACCAGCCTGGTCTACAGAGCACATTCTAGGACAGACAGGGCTATACAGAGAAACCCTGTCTTGAAAAACAAACAAACAAAAACACCAACCTCCCCCAAAAAGGTTATTTAATGAATAAATAAGAGGGTTGGTTTTTTTGTTTTTTTTGGGGGGGGGCTGCTTTTATATAGCCACTAAAACTATGATTTTAGTGGACTCTATGGACGAATATCTGTTTAATTTTTAGAATAATTCATAGTTAAGTTTGCCATATTATTTACAAGAATTTCACATTTCAGAAGACCAACAAATTTTCTCTCTTGAAAACTCCAGGGCATGTCAACAAAGGCCAAAATTCAAGTACATCTCTGTATCATAAACAGTGGAAACATTCCGCTAAAGCTAGGCTAACACGGCTGCTCTAAGATCCACTACTTGAGCTGTATCTTGGGGACCCACACGGTGGAAGGAGACTGACTCTCCCAAGTCAGCCCCCGGCTTCCACACGTGTGCCAAGGCATATGCTCAGTATAAGCACACTTACATGTAAGCAAGTGAATGTAGTAGGACATTAAAAATTGATGAAATAAAACCAAGACAGCATACCTCAGATTGGAGAGTTCTTGTTCCCATTCTACCTTTTCATGCTCTAACTGTGATTTTACTTCTTTTGTTTCTGATACTTCCTTCTGTAATTCCTTAAATTTATTTTCCATTCTTTTAAGTTTTCCTGTAAGTAGTTCACAGTGGCTTTTTTTAAATTCTATTAATCTTTTATATGAATAAACTGCATCCCGGATTTTCAGTAGACTAACAATATCTGAATCAGAGGGAAAAATAAGAGAAAATAAAATGAGTGAGCACATTAAAAGACTGAATTTTTATATTTATTCACTTTATACACTGAAGAAATGTACAGTAAGTGCTTACAATGTGGAACACGGTACACTAAGCTCTGCAAATAACATAGGCAAGACCCTTGCTCTTTTTCAGCTTGAAAAGAAAATATAAAATTATACACCTGGGTTTTTTCATATGAAACTGGATAGAACTGGAGATCTTCATGTTAAGCAAATTAAGCTAAACTCAGCCAAATACTCCACGTTTGATTTAAAGCAGAAAACACAAAGCATTCAGTGAACCTCTCTTTCAGTCTGACTTTAGCCAATTTGAGGTGACAGCTATGCAGTCATGCTCCCACTCAAAACAACCCAGCTGAGCGCAGTTAAAATGTCTCACTAATTCTCAAGACAAGGGTCCTTAACGGACAGGGAATAATGAACTCTACGAATCCCCCAGGTCTCTGACTCTTCTCCAAAGAAGTGAAGTAGAGCTCCCTAGACTGCGTGAGGTCACAGGTAGAGCAGAGAGAGCAATGCAGAGACAGACCCTGCAGGGCTGTAGAGGCCCCTAGAACACTTAGCCAAGTACTGAACAATGGACATATAGGAAGAAACTACATGAACCAAGGATAAAACATTTGAAAAGTTTAGATGAAATCTCACCCATTGCACCCACAGGACCAAGAGTATCTATTCTGCTTAGGCTGGACAAGCACAATTTCCAAGATGATGGATACAGATCATCAGAAAGGAGTGCATCAGAGCAAAGAAATAGAAATCCATAGGAAATGCTGAACATTTATAGGCAGTGTGAGGCACATTAAGACCATATAACAATATGCATACCACACCCCATAAGAAAGCTAAGATTTCAAATACTGGCAAGCAGTGTGTGTGAAAACAGAGCCACTGGATCTCTCCTGTCCTGTGGACTGGAAAAATGAACAGGGACATGCTGGAGGACAACCTGTCAGCTTTTTTTTTTTCTTGCATTGCTGATCTTATTTTTTTTTTAAATTTAAATTTAAATTAGAAACAAGGTTGCTTCACACGTCAATTCCAGGTCCCTCTCCTTTTCCCTCCCTTCCTCCCACGCCCTCCCACCAGCCCTTCCAATATCCCCTCATTTCCCCAGGGAGGGTGAGACTGTTAAAAGGAGCATGGGAGAACTGGGAGGTTTTTTGATGGATTTGTTTACTATTCTGATTACAATGATTAAATATGTGTTTAATATGTATGTTGAAACTAACCAAATAACCCTTTAATATAGCAATTGCCTTGCTGAAGCTGTGCGAAACAAAATACTCTAGTGCAAGAGCAAACTTCTAGGACAACAACTGGGAAACAGAAAAGGCAGGAGAAAACTAAAGGATTGAGAAATTTACCCTCGTCCAAAGGGTTAATATGATCAGATCTGAATCTTTGCAACTTCGTAATTACAGTTAAGAAAAAAAAAAAGAGACCATGTTTGCTGGAAGTGGGCTAGCAGGGGAAAGCGTTCTCTAGTTTTACAGCGTTCTACACAGAGACCAAGGGGTCTTTGGGTTACTACTGTTAGGATGGAACATTAGACCAAAGCAACTTGGGGAGAAAAGGGTTTATTTGGTTCACGCTTGCACATCCCTGCTCATTATCAAAGGAGTCAGGACAGGAGCACAAACAGGGCAAGAACCTGGAGAAAGGAACTGATGCAGAGCCCACGGAGGATGCTACCTACCTACTGGTTTGCTCCTCATGAGTGGCTCAGCATGGAACACCAGCCCAGGGTGGACCACCCACAGTAGTTTGGACCCTCCCCCATCAATCACCAGTTAAGAAAATGTCCTATAGGCTTGCCTACAGCTGGATCTTATGGAGGCATTGTCTCAGTTGAGGCTCCCTCCTCTCTGATGACTCTAGCTTATGTTAAGTTGACATGTAAGGAGCCAGCACACTAGGTAACCTCATCTGCTGGCAGTAAGGCACAGAAGAAAAGCAAGATCAACAAAAAGGCTGGATGTGTCAGTCCCACGAAGAAAAGTCCAATGAGAATAACTACAGTACTTTGGCTGATGGTATAATTAACAGCTCACATAGTATTATAATATAAATTACATTTCTACATGGACAGCGCTGCCACACATCAGTGTTCTAGGGTCAATGCTAAGCAAAATGTGCATATATTACCGTATGTGGGAAGGCTATCTGTTTATACAATGATCATACCTCTACATTCCATTCTGAGATGTTCAATTTCACACAAAACGCTCTCATAATCGGGACACTGTAGCTCACAGTCCTCAGAGGCTGTTTCAGATGACTCATTCAAGTCATCCAGGTCATTCACAGTAGCTACCTGTTTTCTGGCCTATAAAATAAAAACTGTTTAAAATGTTTCCCTAAAGTTTACATTATACGTGAAATAATGTGCTATACACACAGAAACAGACACTTCTTAAAGGCGCTGACAGCTGGCAGGAGGATGCCTTTGTCATCAGCTACTATTGTTTCCTTTTGTCTTTCCATAACAAGGTTCTCTACTTTTTCACTTATCTTTCTTGCCTTTTAACTTACATATCACTACCTTTATAATATATTTTAAAACAAATTACCAGCGTTTATTATTTTTACATTACCTTGTTATTTTTTTTAGATGTTTTCTTTGTGGACCTAAAATAAAAAACAAACCCATAATAATCCTTTAAGACTAATATTATATGAAATGCAAAGAATATCCAAGATTATTGACTTTTATACAAAACCTCTATATTTGAAATTTATTTCTCTTACTAATACAGTTTACAGGCTATTTAAAATATAATATTTTTATAAGGGGATTTGGTTATAAACAGAATAAAAAATAAAACAGTCATTAATATAAGAAGGAGGTAGAAGACATAGAGATATTTTTTATTTAGCTGAGGGTGACCTTGAGCCTCCTCCCTTGACCACCAGGGCAGAGGATTTAAGCATGTGTCACCAATGCCCACAGTGGGCTGCTGGCAATCAAACATAGGGTTGTGTATTCTAGGCAAGCACTTCACCAACTGAGCCAAATCCTCAGGACAGAAAGAATAAACATAGATCAAAGTTCGATGCTAAAAAGGGAAAACATGCTACTTTCTTTATTTGATAGAAACAAATACATCATTAAGAAAAGTTTTACGTTTCTGTTTAGTGTGTATATCTGCGTGTGCATACACATGTGTTATAGTGCAAGTGAAGAGGCTAGAGAACACGTATGAGCTGGTCCTCTCCTTTGCTTGTATGTGTTATACACATGTGTTATAGTGCAAGTGAAGAGGCTAGAGACACGCATGAGCTGGTCCTCTCCTTTGCTTGTATGTGTTATACACATGTGTTATAGTGCAAGTGAAGAGGCTAGAGAACACGTATGAGCTGGTCCTCTCCTTTGCTGGTATGTGTTATACACATGTGTTATAGTGCAAGTGAAGAGGCTAGAGACACGCATGAGCTGGTTCTCTCCTTTGCTTGTATGTGTTATACACATGTGTTATAGTGCAAGTGAAGAGGCTAGAGAACACGTATGAGCTGGTCCTCTCCTTTGCTTGTATGTGTTATACACATGTGTTATAGTGCAAGTGAAGAGGCTAGAGACACGTATGAGCTGGTCCTCTCCTTTGCTGGTATGTGTTATACACATGTGTTATAGTGCAAGTGAAGAGGCTAGAGAACACGCATGAGCTGGTCCTCTCCTTTGCTGGTATGTGTTCTGGGATGTCCAGTTCAGGCCCTCAGGCTTGGTGGCAAATGCTCTCATCTCCTAAGCTATACTGTTGGCTCCTATTTGTTGTTTCTGTCATTTGCAATAAAAACAATGTTTTGTGAACACTATAACCTGTCTGGTAAGTACTTTTGAAGTCCTTACACAAGGAAACTTTTTTTGCTTTGTTTTTAAGTTAAGGTCTAACTCTGTAGGCTAGGTAAGCCTGGAATTCAGTATGTGGTCCAGGCTGGCCTTGAACTCATCTTTTGCCTCAGTCTTCCAAGTTTTGACTTACAGGTATAAACTACCAGGCCTGGACTGGAAGCACTCTTTTTTTTTTTTTAATAATGATAGGACTCTGCTTTTTCTGGACCTACAATAACGATGTATTACGATGAGCGCTATGCACTCCTCATTGTAGCCCACAATTCTGCCGGGCAGGTTAGGACATAGTAGGTATTTTACAAAGTGAGTGAGGCAAAGAAAAGATAGTTATTTTGCCCTAGAACACACAGATGATCAGTGGCAGACCCAGCATAACTCAGGAGCATGCTATACAGTGTGAAAAAAAGTCCTACCTATCTTCAATTGTTTTTCAGTGAGACAGTAGTAAATGACTCCACATTATTATTCTACTTTGAGTTGTAATTATTAATAATTTCTGAATCATATTTCAGAATCAAATATTTTCTAAATAAAAAACCTATACCTCAATAATTCTGGAAAATTGCTTTGTATGAACTAATTTTTTTCTAAAGAATCAGGCATCATTAATCTATTCAGTTGTTCAGCATTACATCCAGGAAATAATGAGCACGTTACATATAATAACGTTTGCTACAAGGAATTGTTTTTATACTTTTTTATTTTACTGAATTTAAAATGCCTATGATAGTCTAACTTTTAGGACATCATTTTCATGTTTAATTTGTATTAGTATATTCCATTTCTCTACCAATTTCGAATGCAGAGTGAGAGATTATAACACCAGAAAGATTTGAGAGCTGAGAGATGGCTCAGTGGCTAAGAGCACTTGTTGCTCTTGCAGAGGACTAAGGCTCGGCTCCCAGCATCAACACGGCTGCTCACAAGCATCTATAACTCCAGTTCCAGGGGACCCAATACCTTCTTCTGGTCTCTGTGCACTGCTTGCCCATGGTACACAGATATACATTCAAGAAAACATCTATACATATAAATTTTTTAAATGAATTTTTTTTTTGGAGACAGGGCTTCCCCGAGTAGCCCTGGCTGTCCTGGAATAACCTCTGTAGACCAGGTGGCCTCACAGAGACCCGCCTGCCTCTGCCTCCTGAGTCCAGAGATTAAAGGGAAAAATCTTAAAAATTTTTTGAGTAGAAATTCTGGGAACAATTAATAATAAATCTTCAGAGAAAATATTAAGTTTAATACCTTATACATATACACCAAAACACCGAGTAAACATACACATCTCTGCTGGATCCTGATATCATGCAAATGTATTCTAAACACCTCTTTTAAAGAAGATTCTTAAATGACACATTTTTCTTCAGTTATTGCCACTTTTCAATTGTCATTCCTAGCATAAAACTCTGAGGAGTTGTCTACACTTCTGTATTGCAGTCAGACTTTTATTGACATGGTACTTGTTGAAGTCACTCGCCCTGTCTTCCCTTTCAGTGACACTGGTACAGGTTAGTTCTTTGCCTGGAGACTTCAACATTCTGTTTTATTTCCACAACTAAGTATTCACAGCTAGTATTCCTACATAGGGAATAAAGAACTCCTATTTTACCTCATGTCACTCTGGTCTGTGTCACTTAGACTGGAACCGTCCTGCATTTGTAATGAACCACCAGGTGGTGAGTCAGCTTCCTCAGTCATTGGCATCATAACAGATTCTCTGGATACCCATTCTTCATTTTCCTTTTTCTTCACTTCCTTCATAAGCAAGGCAGGACCACTACTTAGAAACAATCCATTAAAAAAGCCAGTGTTTTAAAAACAATTCTACTGACAAAGATGAAAGAAAAGTATTTTTGGTGAAATTCTGACTTTTCCACCTTAATTTACTAAAAACAAAAAGGCTAACTAAACACTAGGTAAATATATGCTCAGCAAATGCATGAATATGCACCATGGCACATGTGATTTATCAGAGCTGCTGCATGAGAAGTTTTATTTGAGTATAAGGAAAGCTTTTCTGAAGAGGTCAAACTAAGGCTGTTCCCACCCTGTAAGTGTTCCCAGATAGGCCCTGCCTCTCCCAACTCCACAGGCCACCTGACTACACATCCATTATTAGTATGCATGAGAATGCCTTTTATGTTTTCCTGACAATTAAATCTGAATGTCTAATATCTGCATAACATTTATTGATAATGAAAAATAGCCCAAATGAGAACTGGCTTTATGGGACAATAACAACCACACATGCACTGCTAGGTAGTGCCACAATCTTACCTAGCGTGTTCTTCATTCCTCTTCACAGGAAACTGCTGGCAGTCAGTTTTTCCACTCTGCTGATTTACTCCATTACCAACACTGTCAACGGCACCATCGTACAGACTTCCTGATACTTTTGCTCCGCTATTTTTGTACTTTCTTTTTTCTTCAGCCTTTAATGAAAAGTTGGCACTATGGATAACTTATTTTTTGTGGGGGCACTGAAGAAATGGATCCATGGTTAAGAGTACTGATTTGCTTCCCAGCACTCACATGGCAGCTCACAGCCATCTGTTAACTCATGTTCCAAGAGATCCAATGTACTCTTCTGAACTCTCCATGCATGTAAACATATGCACACACACATACCCACACATAAAATAAAAATAAACCTTAAGAAAATAAAAGCCATTATTCCATGGGAAAAGAAGCTTCTTTTTAAAAGTCCTTAGTTTTCATTGATTTTTACCACTTGGCAGTTTAATCATGACTCAGATTTGACATCCAAGATCTTTGTTTTGTATGCTGAGAAAAAGGAATGATATGCAGATTTTTATTTTCAAGGTTCTTCCTTAAAAAATAAAAACAAAACAAAACAAAACTTCATTTTGGAGGCAGGCATTGGTGGTGCACGCCTTTAATCCCAGTACTCGGGAAGCAGAGGAAGGTAGATCTCTGTGAGTTCAAGGCCAGCTTGGTCTACAGAGCAAGTTCCAGGACAGCCCCCAAAACAATACAGAGAAACCCCGTCTCGAGAAACCAAAAAAAAACAAAAAACAAAAAACAAAAAAAAACCAAAAACCACTTTATTTTTAAATACTAAGAGTCTTTATTTTTAAATATTAAGAGTATACACAAAGAACATGTTTTAGATATTTCTAAATCACTAGACTGTAACTAAAGTAAAAACTAACTTAGCTCACTTTAAGACTGGATATTATGGACCAGTAGACTGAGTATGTCTACTGTGTCTGCATCATCCTTATGTGCTACTCTCACTAAAAACAAGCTAGAGGGCTGCTTGGTTTTATTTTAGTATTACAAAGCTTATCATACATTAAAGAGAACATGAGTCCTTTTCCTAAAGATCACTAAGTGGGGAGGAGGCACACTATTGAGTGACAAAGTCATTAAATACCAGTTAGAAAGAAGAGCAGCATCAACTCCAAATATAAACTATGACGGTGTATTCATTTCTATTAAGTCCAGTTCTAATACAGTCTCTACAGTTGAAGAAACCATTTAGAGTACCTACCAGTTTCTGACAATTAAATACAGTTAGAAAGTTAATGCATTTGCTCCAGTACCACAGCCTCACTCCAGAGGTATGCTTCTCTTTACAGGCAATCAAGGTTATTTTATGTGCTGGCTCAGAAAGTTGTTTTGAGGAGACTAAGGGCAGAGTGAATGATGCATGTATGTGAATTCACCTGTGTATGCATGAGTGTGTACATGTGTGTGGGTCCTGAGGCCAGAGGAAAATACTGGTATCAGTGCTAATACTCTGCCTTATTCCACCAACACAGGCCTTTCCCTGAAGCTAAAGCTTATTATTTTGGTGAAGCTATGGAGCTCACAAAATCAGCTATCGCTGTCCCCAGTGCTGGGGTTACCAACACACATGTCCACATTAGGCCTTTTTTTACATGAGTGTTGGGAATTTGAACTCAGGACTATAGATTTTTATGCAGTGGGCACTCTTACCCAAGGAGGACTCCCCCAGCCTTATTTTAAATAACATAACTAGCTAAAATGATTTTAAAATGAAGGATTAGGGGCTGGAGAGATGGTTCAGTGGTTAAGAGCACATACTCTTGCCAGACCTGAATTGGGTCACAGAACACTGTTGAACTGGTATCTGTGGGTAACTCCAGCTGCAAGGGTTCCTATACCCTTGTCTGCCCTCTGCAGGCACCTGCACACACATGCATTTGCCCCCACACATACATGTAATAAACACAACCCTTTTAAAATGAAATAGTAAATTATACTATACTGATCCTAAAAAGCTATCTGAATGAACTCATCCAACATGCTGTATCGCTAGAGTCACGAGCACACTGAACCAGGGTTAGGCTGTCACACACCTGTCGCTGGCTGTCTTCACTGCTACTGAGTCTTTTCTCCTCTTCTCTTGGTACTATTTCTATGTCTGGTTCTACAGACAAAAACACATATCCAGTTAAAATAAATTTAGCTAGATAAAATCTTTATAAACACAGAAAAAATAAGTAATAATTTGTTTTTTTTACCTAAGAGTTTAAAAGTTAAGTTTAATCATTAACTACAAAATTACATATTTACCACCTTAGGAAATACTTTCAATTATTCCAAACAAATCATTCAGAGACACCACATGGCTAATGATGAAACAGTGGGGTCCCCCTGAGAAGCCCACACCCACACTTGTGCATGTCGTCGACTTTCCTGAGTGACTCTCTTTGAACTCCTCTGCTTAGGGACTATGCTAAAAAGCTGTTAAAATAAATTACGGCTTAATGAGAGGTGCACGTCCATGATCAGGTATGCTTTTATTAATGAATGTCTCTCTACTTTTAATAAAAACCCCTGGCTACTCCTAAAATGCTTTTCTGTGTCAAAGCCACTAACTCAAAAGATTTGACTCCGCTGAAGCCCCTAAGTGATTATGGAGCCTCCTCCGGCCTCCGAGGGTGACTGCAGACCTGCATTCCTGTTTTTACACCACCGATGGACACCAATAACAATGGCCCATTATTTATTTCAAATCTTTCTGGGAGTAAAAAAATGCTTAGGAAACAGAAGAATAAGTATTTACAATAATGGATGTACCTTCCCCTAGAATATTATGTAATTTACCTGACTTGAACACTGTTATACCCTTCATTCCTACTGTTTTGTTCAGAACAGCATCCGTCCTTTTGCTGGTAGGCTGGATGGGTTTGGAAACAAAATTGTTGAATATACATTTAACAAATGTAGATTTTATAACATGTAGTTAAAATTCATGATGAAAATATTACTATACCTCTATGACTGGATATTTCCTGAGGGCCTCTAAAATGCAAAGGGAAATTATATATAATTAGTTATATATAAATATGGTAAACCAACAATATTTACTATGGAGCCAAACCCTCATGCTACATTTGAAAATCATCAGTTTTGCCACTCTCCTCTGCTTAGGCAAGCAACATATCAGAAATATATTCAATAAAGAACAAGAGGGTAAGTTTGACAAAACATGCAGTTAGGACTCAAAGTGAGGTAATGACTGTAACTAAAACAGAACTGTGATGTGCATTTGCCAATGTAAACACGCTGATGAACATACAGAAACGTGACTGTTAGTTAAAGGAACAAGTTAGGGCTGTGAAGATGAATTTCAGAGACGATGGTAAAGTGTGTCTTTAATGCAGCACACCAGAATGGTTTATTACATTATACTACAAGCATTTATCACCTCCTTCAAGTCACCCTGTAATTTAGAAAAAAACAAAGGTGGAATAATAGTTCAGTTGAATGTACAATTCATTCTCACCAGAGAAGATTTTCTAAACTGAGTAGGTGGATATACACTTGTAGAATAATAGTTCATAAAAATACCAGTTTTTTTTTTTCCATACCCTTGTGGGCTACTGGAATGCCTACATTTCTTGACTCCTCTAGGTTAGCCATCTTAAAGTTTCTCGGTCCACTCATGCAAGAAGGTATGTAAGTCACATCTAAGAAATAATATTCACATTTTTAATATTCAATGATTATAAAAAGAAAAGGTAAACTTAGTTGTCAGATATTAGAATAGACATTAATAAACTTTTATTTAAAAATTGGTTTTCAGTCTTATTTAAAATAACAACTAAGAAATGAACCATATAGCCAGGCAGTGGTGGCACACACTTAATCCCAGCAATCAGGAGGCAGAAGCAAACAGACCTCTGTGAGTTCGATGCCAGCCTGGTTTACAAAGTGAGTTCCAGGACAGCCAGGGCTACACAGAAAAACCCTGTCTCGAAAAAAATCAAAAAAAGAAATAAAATATAACACTGTGCTTTAAAATCAGTTTGGTTTAGCTGTTCATCATGTTAGTCTTTAATAAATTTCCACGAAACAACTACTTTATCAGAAAATTAGCTATCTCCAATGACAGCAAAGGTTTGAATATGTAATTAATCTAATCTAAGTAATACGTTAATGAGACCTGATGACTGCCAGTTATTCAGAGGACAGCTGTGTGACTGTGGTAAATCAAATTCTAACAGCACTTCCTAATCCCGGTAACATCTGAAGCAGCAATAACCCAATACGACTGCAGATGTACTGAGGCAACAAGAGTTCCCTAGCATCAGCTCCAACAGAACCTAGATTCTGCTCCTTCCTCCAGTTCCAGGGGATCCGACACCCTCACACAGACAAAACACCAACACACATAAAAAAATTCCCAAGGTCAAAATTCACTATGTTGATACAACATGGAACCTGATTCTCTGGTATTAACAATATGACTTATAGTAACATTTATAGAAAACTGGATACATTTACTGACTGAGTCATTTAGGACTCAGTGATTCAATTTAATCCAAATACTAAATCTGGGTGTTTTCTCACTAGATAAAGCTTTTAGATGCTGGACAGTGACCAACATAACAGTAGGAAACATTCTATTGAGAATCATCCCTCCATTCTATGGGTTATCTGCTTGCTCTGTTAACAGACTCTCCTGCTGTGCAGAAATTTGACTTCACACAGCCCCTCTGTTGGATCTGGGGCTTCCTGTGCTATTGAAGTCCTATTTAGGAATTTCTTATTCAGTGTCTTGAAAAGTATTCCTTGTGTTTTGTTTCTTTGCTTGGATGTTTTTCTTTTTCAAAACAGGGTCTCCCTGTTCTGGAACTCACCATGTAGACCAGGCTGGCCTCAAACTCTTAGAATCTGCCTGCCTCTGCCTCTGAGACCTGGGACTAAAGGCATCAGTCACCATGCCTGGCTTCCCTTGTGTTTCCTTCTAGAAATTTTAGCATTTTATGGCTTATTTTAAGGTCTTTGATACTCATTTCAAATTGAATTTTATACAAGGAGAGACATGAGTCTAATTTTATTCTTCTACAGGTTTTATCAATACCATTTGTTAAAGTCTTTTTTTTTTCCATTGCATGACTTAGCCTTTGTCAAAGATTAGGTGACCATAGTCTTCCTGGTCTATTCAGGGTCTTCTATTTGGCTTCAGTGGTCGCATGTCTGTTTTCATGTCAGAAGGTCTGCCTTGAGCACTCTAGCTCTATCGGTAAGTTATTGTGATACCTCTAGCTGCCTCTAATACCTCAGGGCTGTTTCGGCTATTGGTAGTCTTTTATAATTCCTTATGAGTTCTTAAGGTTTTTTTCTCTTAGTGAAATATCATGGGGCTTTTGATGGAGGTTGCCATTAATGTGTAGGTTAATTTTGGTTATGTTGCCATTTTCATAGTATTGATACTGTCACTTCAGGAGCATGGAAGCTCTTTCCATCATCTAGCATCTTCTAGGATTTCCTTTTTCATAGTCTTGACATTCTCATTGGAAAGGTCTTTCACACCTTCAGTTAGGTATATTCTAACCTAATATAAATGGAATATTTTTCTTATTTTCTTTTTCTGAGAGTATACTGCTGGTATATATGAAGGTTACTTTACCAATATACTTCAAATAGGGGGCTAATGTTGAGAATTCGCAAAGAACTGTGGAAGTTAAATACCAAAGAAACAAAAATACTAACCAACAAATAGGCTAATGAATTGGACAACTTTCAGAAGAAACACAAATGGCCAATAACTATTTTTAACAGTCTTGAATATCTCTAGTCATCATGGAAATGCAAATTAAAACTACTCTGGGATACTACTTCACCCCAGTCTGCATGGCTGCCAACAAGAAATCCCAAAGAGGATGGGTGCATTGCCAAACCTTCATCAGAGAGGCGTCTTCATGCAAAGATGGGAATTAGCACAGAGACCTAAGACTGGAGGATGCAGGAGCGAGACTTCAGAGCACTCAGCCGTAAATGGGATGTCCTTATCAAGTCCTTACTCTCAAGGCTCAGAGATCTACATAGAGGAGGAAGTGGACTGATTCTAAGAGCCAGAGGTGGTAGATGACTTCAAGGAAATAATGTCTTCCAGACACAATAGGGCTGACTGACATGAACTCACAGAAATCTTGAAAACATGCACAAGACATGCACATGTTCAAGAAAGAGAATGGGCAGTGAACACAAAGTTCTACCTCTAAACAAGAAGCTGTTTGCAATAGATGCCTGCTGGAAAAGGGAAAGTCAATTTTCTCCAATAGAATGACACTGGGGAAATCAACCACACTCCAAGCAGGTCCCCTGCTCAGGAATAGTTGACCAACACAAAACAGACTCCATGTTTTGTACTTTTGTTTTGCTTTTGCTATTTTTTTGTCTTTCTGTTTATTATTTTTTTTGAAGAACAGGAAGTTGAGTGGGCAGAAAGAGGGGGATATGACCAAAAAATATAGTATATGAAAAAGAAAAATTTAAGCCAATAAATAAGATAAACATTCATAAATTACACTAGGAGATACCATATACATAAAAAAGAAATTCTCAAAGATTAAAAAGTATTTAAAAATAAAAATGAAAGAGATAGACACAATTATAAGAAACTTTTAAACACAATAATTAAAAACCCAGAATTGATTACCATCTTTCAAACGTGAGCTCCCAGGGAAGAAAATATTGGTAGAATAAGCGCTAAGACAAGGTAGCTCCATCAACTGGGAAAGATGTCATATCAAAGACTTCATCAGCCTAGAAAGGAAGGTACCCACTTCCTGCACACAAACCCTCATAACTGATAATTTACCTTTCTCACCTCCAGAAAGGAAGGTACTCGCTTCCTGCACACAAACCCTCATAACTGATAATTTACCTTTCTCACCTCCAGAAAGGAAGGTACCCGCTTCCTGCACACAAACCCTCATAACTGATAAACTCTTAAATTTACCTTTCTCACCTCCAGAAAGGAAGGTACCCACTTCCTGCACACAAACGCTCATAATTGATAAACTCTTAAATTTACCTTTCTCACCTCCAGAAAGGAAGGTACCCGCTTCCTGCACACAAACCCTCATAACTGATAAACTCTTAAATTTACCTTTCTCACCTCCAGAAAGGAAGGTACCCGCTTCCTGCACACAAACCCTCATAACTGATAAACTCTTAAATTTACCTTTCTCACCTCCAGAAAGGAAGGTACCCACTTCCTGCACACAAACCCTCATAACTGATAAACTCTTAAATTTACCTTTCTCACCTCCAGAAAGGAAGGTACCCGCTTCCTGCACACAAACCCTCATAACTGATAAACTCTTAAATTTACCTTTCTCACCTCCAGAAAGGAAGGTACCCACTTCCTGCACACAAACCCTCATAATTGATAAACTCTTAAATTTACCTTTCTCACCTCCAGAAAGGAAGGTACCCACTTCCTGCACACAAACCCTCATAACTGATAAACTCTTAAATTTACCTTTCTCACCTCCAGAAAGGAAGGTACCCGCTTCCTGCACACAAACCCTCATAACTGATAAACTCTTAAATTTACCTTTCTCACCTCCAGAAAGGAAGGTACCCACTTCCTGCACACAAACCCTCATAACTGATAAACTCTTAAATTTACCTTTCTCACCTCCAGAAAGGAAGGTACCTGCTTCCTGCACACAAACCCTCATAACTGATAAACTCTTAAATTTACCTTTCTCACCTCCAGAAAGGAAGGTACCCACTTCCTGCACACAAACCCTCATAATTGATAAACTCTTAAATTTACCTTTCTCACCTCCAGAAAGGAAGGTACCCACTTCCTGCACACAAACCCTCATAATTGATAAACTCTTAAATTTACCTTTCTCACCTCCAACTTGTGCCAGCCTTTAAGAAAACTTCTACAAGGACTTCATAAAAGCTGGGTTACAATCATCTTCCGATACATTAGCAACTGTCTATATCAAGTAACTGAACTCAAAATCCTTGTAACAAAAATTCTCTCACTTTCTATGTTTCTTAAATAATTTAATATTTAGGTATTAATTTTTCATTGATATATTCCTAAATGACAAAAATGCTAATTTTGGTTTAGTAAAGCCACACTGAAGACATTATGTCCTTCCATTAATCATGATTTTGTTATGACTGTCTACTTACTCAGACATCTTAAATTACTTGAACAAAGTCTTACATGTTTAAAGATTCCACTTTTATCACTATCTTCTAATAAGAACTCTTGTATTATTTACTATAATTTGTATTTTTTAAATTAAATAATATTTCCTGCTACTCATCCTGTCTTAATCAGATTCTAGAAGTGAGTCTTCCCAGGACCACAGGATATCAAAGCATTGTTGGCTTTACATGCAGAAAATGAACTGTCCACTAAGTTCTCAGGGGGAGGAGCCGCATGTGTGCTAAAGGCTCCAGTGGCTGAAGACCACAACTCCTGTGATTGCAGAGTACCAGAACATTGCAGGTCCGTTCAGAACCAGATTCCCTTGGCTTATCTTTGGCACACTCAGTAGTCATTCAAATCTCACCTTGGGATTTTACCTGAGTCTTTGGTCAACATGGGAAAGTACGAATTAAAATTTACAATTTACAGAAAAAAAAAGCCACACCTATGTTAAATATTTCACAAGGCTGACTAATATGTCAATAATTACAGAGAATTGGAACGATGCAGGTCCAGAGCCAAATCACTTTGAGACCACAGTCAGCTGACTATTTTCCATTTCAGTATTTGGCCCACCATCCTTGTGACTGCCAAGCATACTCCTTTTTGGAATGTACAGACCCCATAGATTCCACCAACTCAAAGGTCGAGAGCATTATTAAATATAATCTGATGCCTGGAGCAGAGACTTTCTGTAAACCATTCTCCTAATGTCTTTACCCATTTATTATGGTGGGTGGATCTGTGTGTGTGGTGTGCATTGTATGTGTGTGGCATGTAAGTGTGATATGTGTGATATATGTGTATGATGTGTGTGTCTTGTGTGTGTGTGTGTTGCATGTGTGTTGTGTGCGTGTTGTATATGTGTTGTGTGTGTGTGTGTGTGTGTGTGTGTTGTAGAGGGAGGGAAGAGAAGACTGTGTTCATGTGCCTGCAGGTACACAGAACCCATGGTACCCAGACACTGTCCACTGTCCATAAGCTTTTTGTTTTTTGGTGGTTGTTCTTGATGTTTTTGAGACAGAATCTCTCATTGGCCTAGTACTTGCTGAGCAGGCTAGGCTGGCTGGTCAGCAAACTCTGGTGACCTGTCTGTCTTTGCCTTCCCAGTCCTGAATCACAAGTAAATGACACCTGTTTTGTTTGTTGTAAGGGAGTTAAATGCAGATCCTCAAGCTTGCATAGCAAAAACAGAAACAGAGAGGTAGCTTCCATCATGTATTTTTAAGACATATTGATTTATGGCTGATTTTTGTTGTTTTGATATAAAAACTCCAAGAACATGAATAGGTTATGAACAGTCCTATTTAACTCCAGAACAATCTTCTATTTCTTTGGAAGTGAGTGCTATATTTTTTGTCAACACCAGAAATTGATTCATTAAAGTCAGAGAAACTGCTCTGTGATGAGTCCAATTCCAAATTCCCATCACACTATATACTTCTGGAAATGAACCTCAAGTTCCTATCATTCCCCAGAGACGGCAGAGTTCACCCTTCTCATGGACTTTTGCAGGACATGGCTTTCCTGAGCTCTATTTTCTTCTTTCTATTGTTTTGGCCTATAGAAAATTTTTCTGTAAAGTAGCAACATTTTAGAGGACAACATACGCATACACATGTACATATGGCTAGAGTCTGAGAAGGTCCACAGAAGCTCGTGTGTTGCACTTGGTCCCCAGTTGGTAGCGCTATTCCTAATGGTTGTAAAATCTTTAGCAGGTGGAGCTTTGCTAGAGGGAGCAGGTCATGAGAGGGTCTTGGGGTTTTAACCACAGAATCACCACCACCACCCCGCATCCCTGGCCCCCTGCCCAGTCTCTACTTCCCACCTAAGACACTAAATGACCAGCTATCTGAACTGTCTCAAAATGCCACCCTGATAAAGACAGTACTCTCTGGTAAGCTGTAAACCCAAATACACCCTAAGCTGTTTCATGTCATTTGGTCAGGAGACAAGAGAGTAAGTGACACACAGGTGCATGTTTGTCTAAAGGAAATGGCAATGGCTCTGCATGATCAGGCACTTTGACCCTGGTCTTCTCGGCATCCAGAAAACAGGAGTGGAACTCACTCTGCTCCTCCCACACTAGGTAATGATTCGTATCTCCCGTGTCTCTGATGCTGTGCTCGCATCTACATACAGCCTTACAGCACTTTCCCACCCATCACGACACGCCTCCCTTTCTTGCCCATCGTCTGTCCTCTGCACTCTCTGTCATTCTTATCTTTAGTGCTCTTTCCCTCAAGCTTCAGAACAGCTTCCAGCGGACAGGCAGTGCAGTGCAGCTCTTAGCAACACTCCCAGTTTATTCTGCTGAACCCTGGGAATTCATACACAACTGCTTACTTCTAAAAATATATTATATTCTATAGACATCTGTCAAACGACTTTTTAAAAATAAGACAGTTCTTACCTTCTACTTGTCCACGTTTTCTAGTCTCTCCTGTTTGATCTGCAGTTCCAGATAAATGACCTACACCTTTCAGTGAAACACTGTCAGAGATACTCTGTTGAAGCAGACATCAAAATGCGTTACATAAGGATTCCTTATTGTTTTCTAAAATATTTCAATTTCTTGCTTTAAACACTGTTAGGAAACCAGACAAGCATGCTCTGAGAAGAGACATGTCAATAAAGAAACTTGTATGTGCTGTCTACATCATATCTATCTTTGCTCTGCATCTGGTTACCAAGTATGAAGATGAGCATGGAAGATCAGAAGAACATAGTCATTAAAAAATTAATTTATTTTCATGTTTCAGCAAGCAACTAAGCTCAGAACACTTAACATTACTTCCTTATTCTCCATGCAATGTAAGAAAATTGAAAGGAAATGGACAATTTTCTGGATAGATATCACTTACCAAAACTAAATCAAGAACAGATAAGCAATTTAAACAGACCAATAACCCCTAATGAAATAGAAGCAGTCGTCAAAAGTCTCCCAACCATAAAAAGCTCAGGACCAGATGATTTCAGTGCAGAATTCTACCAGAACTTCAAAGAGCTAATACCAATACTCCTCAAAGTGTTCTACACAATAGAAGCAGAAGTTTCATTACTAAGCTCTTTTTTATGAGACTACAATTACCTTGGTACCCAAACCACACAAAGATACAACTAACAAAGAGATCTACAGACTAATACCCATCATGAACATTGATGCAAAAACACTCAGTAAAATACTGGCAAATTGAATCCAAGAACACATCAGAAAAATCATTCACCATGATGATTCATCCCAGGGATGCAGAGATGGTTCAACATACGAAAATGTATCAATGTAATCCACTATATAAACAAACTGAAAAAGAAAAACCACATGATCATCTCACTTGAGGCTGAAAAAGCCGTTGACAAAATCCAACATCCCTTCATGATAAAGGTCTTGGAGAGATCAGGGATAACAGGAACATACCTAAACATAATAAAAACCATGCCGGGCGGTGGTGGCGCACGCCTTTAATCCCAGCACTCGGGAGGCAGAGGCAGGCGGATCTCTGTGAGTTCGAGGCTGGGCTGGACCGATAGCCCCCGAAACAATACAGAGAAACCCTGTCTCGAAAAACCAAAAAAAAAAAAAAAAAAAAAAAAAACATATATAGTGAGCCAACAGCCAACATCAAATTAAATGGATAGAAACTCAACATGATTCTCCTAAAATCAGGAACAAGACAAGGCTGTCCCCTCTCCCCATACCTCTTCAACATTGTACTTGAAGTTCTAGCTAGAACAATAAGACAACAAAAGGAGATCAAGGGATATAAACTGGAAAGGAAGCTTTCACTATTTGCAGATGATATGATAGCTTACATAAATGACCCAAAAAACTCTATCAGGGAACTCTTACAGCTGATAAACATCGTCAGCAAAGTGGCAGGATGCAAGATTAACTCAAAAGAAATTAGTAGCCCTACTATATACAGATGATAAATGGGCTGAGAAAGAAATCAGAGAAACATCACCCTTTACAATAGCCACAAATAACATAAAATATCTTGGGGTAACACTTACAAACAAGTGAAAGACCTGTATAGCAAGAACTTTCAGTCTTTAAACAAAGAAATTAAACATACCAGAAAATGGAAAGATCTTCCATGCTCTTGGATAGGTAGGCTCAACATAGTAAAAACGGAATCTTGCCAAAAGCAATCTACAGATTCAATGTAATCCCCATCAAAATACCAGCACAATTCTTCACAGACCTTGAAAGAATAATACTCGGGGGCCAGGGTAGGAGGGGAGGGAAAGGAAACTGAGAATAACACATGTAAAAAGTTAAATAAAAATAAATAAATAAATATAAAAAAAAGAAAGAAAGAATAATACTCAACTTAAATGGAAAAACAAAAGACCCAGGATAGCCAAAACAACCCTGTACAATAAAGGAACTTCTCGAGGCATCACCATCCCTGACTTCAAACTCTATTATAAAGCTATAGTCCTGAAAACAGCTTGGTACAGGCATAAAAACAGACAGGTAGACCAAAGGAATTGAATTGAAAACCCTGATATCAACCCACACATCTATGAACACCTGATTTTTGACAAAGAAGCTAAAATTATACAATGGAAAAAGAAAGCATCTTCAACAAATGGTGCTGGCATAACTGGTTGCTGGCATGTAGAAAACTGTAGATAGATCATGTCTATCACCATGCACAAAACTTAAGTCCAAATGGATCAAAGACCTCAGCATAAATCCAGCCATACTGAACCTTTTAGAATAGAAAGTGGGAGGTACCCTTGAACGAACTGGTACAGGAGACCATTTCCTGAACACAACGCCAGTGGCACAGACACTGAGATCAACAATTAATAAATGGGACCTCCTGAAACTGAGAAGCTTCTGTAAGGCAAAGGACACAGGCAACAAGACAAAACGGCAGTCCACAGAATGGGAAAAGATATTCACCAACCCTACATCTGACAGAGGGCTGATTTCCAAAATATACAAAGAAGTCAAGAAGCTAGTCAAAAAAACACCAAATAATTGAATTAAAAAGTGGGGTATAGAACTAAATAGATAATTCTCAATAGCAGAATCTAAAATAGTTGAAAGAGACTTAAGAAAGTGCTTAACATCCTTAGCCATCAGGGAAATGCAAATCAAAACAACTCTGAGATACCATCTTGCTCCTGTCAGAATAGCTAAAATCAAAAACACCAAGAACAGTTTATATTGGAGAGTATGTGGAGAAAGGGGAACACTCCTCCACTGCTGGTGGGAGTGCAAACTTGTACAGCCATTTTGGAAATCAGTATGGCAGTTCCTCAGGAAAATGGGAATCAGTCTACCTCAAGACTCAGCAATTCCACTCTTAGGCATATACCCAAAGGAGTCATGCTCATACAACAAGGACATCTGTTCAACTATGTTCATAACACCATTATTTGTAATAGCCAGAACCTGGGAGCAACCTAGATGCCCCTCAACTGAAGAATGGATAAAGAAAATGTGGTACATTTACACAATGGAGTAATACTCAGTGGAAAAAAAACAATGGAATCTTGAAATTTGCAGGCAAACGAATGGAACTAAAAGAAACCATCCTGCGTGAAGCAACCCAGTCACAAAAGGACAAGCATGGTATTTTAGACAGAGCAAAGGATTACCAGTCTACAATCCATACCACCAGAGAAGCTAGGAAGCAAGGAGGACCCTAAAAGAGACATACATGGTCCCCCAGAGAAGGGGAAAGAGACAAGATCTCCTGAACTAATTCGGGGATATCGGGGGAGGGGAGAGGGAGTTAGAAGAAAGAGAAGGGGAGGAGGGGAGAGGAGAGGAGGACATGAGGGAGCAGGAAGATTGGGGCGGGGAGGTGATACAGGAAAGCAAGAAAAGAGATACCATAATAGGGGAAGCCATAATAGTTCTAAAGAGAAACCTGGGACTAGGGAAATGTCCAGAGATCTACAAAGATGACCCCCAACTAACAATCTAAGCAATAGTGGAGAGGCTATCTTAAATGCCCTTTCCTATAGTGAGATTGATAACTACCTTATATGCCAACCTAGAGCCTTCATCCAGTAGCTGATGGAAGCAGAAGCAGAGATCCACAGCTAAACACTGAGCCAAACTACTGGAATCCAGTTACAGAGAGGGAGGAGTGATGAGCAAAGGGGTCAAGACCAGGCTGGAGAAACCCACAGACACAGCTGACCTGAACAAGGGAGGAGCTCATGAACCCCAGACTGATAGCTGGGAAACCAACATAGGACCGACCCAGACTCCCTGAACATGGGTATCAGTTAGGAGAACTGGGCAGTCTATAGGGCCTCTGGTAGTGGATCGGTATTTATCCCTAGTGTACAAATGGACTTTGGGAGCCCATTCCACAAAGAGGGATACTCTCTCGGCCTAGACATATGGGGGAGGGCTTAGGCCCTGCTGCAAATGATGTGACAGACTTTGAAGATCCCCCATGGAAGACCCCACCCTCCCTGAGGAGCATAAAGGGGATGAGATAGGGGGTTGGAGGTGGGCAGAGAAGGAGGGGAGTGAGAGGGAACTGGAATTGACATGTAAGACAAGATTGTTTCTAATTTGAATTTAAAAATTGAAAAAAGAAACAGATATCTTAAGAAATCTGTTAAGTTCACTTTGACACAGCATGAAATATTTAAAATATGACGAATGATAGAAATTTAAAGTCAAAATAAGAAACCTAGCATGTATGGTAAGAAACTCTAGAATGTGTCACACGTCACATTGGTTACACATAGAAAGAACATTGTAGAAGTTCCTATATTTAGGTAAACTAAGGCTTAGAAAGATCTAAGTATTTTTTTTGTAAAAATTTTTACTGCCAGCCAGGCGGTGGTGGCGCACGCCTTTAATCCCAGCACTTGGGAGGCAGAGGCAGGCGGATCTCTGTGAGTTCGAGGCCAGGCTGGACCGACAGCCTCCAAAACAATACAGAGAAACCCTGTCTCATAAAACCAAAAAAAAAAAAAAAAAGTACTGCCAGCAAAAATGGCTGAGTAAAAATGATAAAACCTTTTCTGATTGTACAAATAAAACCCACAAAAAATAAAATGTAGAACATGACCCTTTCCCAATCAAAAAGAACTTCTAAAATATGCAGTAAGCTTTGATAAGGATGCAAAAATACTTAATATGTTTAAAATGTGCTAGGGAATTATTTTGTATATCATACATATATAAATTAATATTCAACTTCATACTTCTGAATCATCTCAGAACATTTAGATCAAAACAGTGAACAAATGTGATTCACTGTTCTTTGGAATGTTCTTGACTCTCAGGTCATCCTTAGCTGGCAGTTTGAATGTCATTCTCAGAAAGCACCCTAGTAATGCCACCTCCACTCCATCTGAAATCCAATCCCCCTCCTGTTTTCTTTACATGAAGCAGTTAAATTGGCTTACAATACATTGTTTGGTCTTCTGTTCATTATTACTCTAACACTGAGCCCTCATTTGTACTATTCAGCATCTAACTGCCTGGTAACTCAGTCACAGAAATTTACTCCGGGGCAAAGCATTTAGGCTCTCATTAGGAAGAACTTATGCACCAAACCACTGTATTCCTCTAGGTTATCTCAATCAATGGTTTATTGAGACTTACCATTTCCAAACTGGAAATCTGTATGCCCCTTCCACCTTCCCATTCTTTTCTTGACACTACTTCTCTACTGCCCTCAAGTATGAAGCCGGTCTTCAACGTTCATTTTGTTTTGAAGAGCACTAGGATCTGGCTGCCACATATTTGCAGACACACATTATACCTCACAAAATGTTTTTATCCCCTGTCACCCCTGTGCATCACATATCTTTATGGTACGACAAAGTCACTGATGCTCAGATGTATTAATTTCTCACCAAATTCTATAAATATTCAATGCCAGAACTAAGTATGAACATGTCCTTTGGCTATAGTGGTTCCAGCATGTACAGTTGCTACACTTCCAAGCCATCCCCAACTCTTTCTACAGTGGTATCATTAAAACTGATCATCATTATTGGTATTCAAGTTACTTCAAGCATGGATCTTACACAGGTACTAAATGTATTTCACTTCTGAAAATAATTTAAATCTATTAAAGAAGAAATTAAGACAAATATAAACAAAACTGACAAATATAAACAAAACTGCTGTAACCCCAGAAAGTTACATTCATTCTTTTCTTTCTCCTGACATTTCCTTCAAAGGTTTATACTTTACAATCCAGATAGAATAACACTTTCAAGTCTCATTTGTTCCTTATCAGGTTTCAGATATAAAAATTATAGTTCACATTTTCCCTCTGAATCCCATAGGACTTGCACACACCCATATCTGTCACACAACCTTTCAGGTTCAGGTCACAGGTTGAAATGATGGTTTAATTTACTTAAATTTAATCCAAAGTTATTCCTTCTGACTTCTACATTATTATATAAATCACACAAATTAGCAGAACTGTCCTATGAGCAGCACTTGGTATGTAACTAGGTTGAAAATGTGAGGCAGGAGTCCCTCAAAGGCATTACATAGGTGAGAAAGTAAGCACCTTCATTTATGGTCTTAGCCAGTACCTCAGAATCCCAAGGTGATTCTTCTTCTTCCTCTTCTCCTAATCCTAATGCAGACATCATTTCTGTAAAATGCAGTCACACACACATTAATAAGAAAGTCTATCACTGAATTTTAAACACATGCATGTCTATCTACATTCACAACATTACAGGAAAGATAATAGCAAAAAGGAATTTCACTGGGTTGAAGCAGTTTCAAAAAGAACTGAAAGCAACAAAAAAGAGCAAGAGAAAAACATTTAAGAGAAGCAGACACTATATCTGATCAAGAACTTCAGCTTCTTATAACAGTATAAAGCATGGAAAGTGTTTAAGTGTTCGCTAACTCACCACTTTTATTACTTCTGTGCCAACCACCAGCACAGGTTAAATTGTCACGATTTGGTTGCTCTTGTGAAGCCCTTTCCACAGTATCAGCACCGTTTTCTTGTGAAGCCCTTTCCACAGTATCAGCACCGTTTTCTTCTCTTCCAGGTGCGGGTTCAGTTGCTCCTTCCTATGGGAAAACACTGACTTAAGTATTTCAGTGCAGTTTACAGGGGGCTATTTACTGTTTAGTGAAAATGGCTAACAGTAGATCACAGAAAGATAAAGATCTGTGCCTGCAGTCTGAGAAGTACCACACGGAGTATAGAGGACCCAGAAGGCAGACCTGAAGAATGCTTTTAGAGTAGTCTATGGGGCTAGAAAGATGGCTCAGCAGCTATAAGCACTTGCTGTGTTTCAGAGGACACAACTGGAACTCTCAGCACCCACATGGTAGCTCAGAGTCATATGCAAGCCCAGTTCCAGTGCACCTGGTGCTTCTGGCCTACATGCATACACACATGCAGCAAAATACTCATATAAATGAATCCTAAAGGATAAAAAGAATATGATCCAATATGTATATGAAAAGAGAAAAGAAACCCATTTAATTCTAAAGGGATTCCTGAGCTTTAAAGATCAAAGAATTTACATACCATTGGGACAGGTGACGGACAGGATGGAGAAGAGGTCTGGACTCTGGCTGATGTTCCAGGACCAATTTCAACTTCATCTTCAATGTCACTATTGGAATTACTATTGTCAAACAGGATTCTATTTCCTAGGTTCTCAAAGCCACATTTTGTTTCTGTCACAAAATAAATGAATAAATAAATTAATAAGAAAGGAAAGAAAAAAAAGAATATGTGAAAATATTTACTTTTGAATCAATGAATAGCACAAGAATAGACCATCTTCAAATGACTTACGGTTTTTCTTGGACTGCTGAGCAGCTGCCCACAGCTCTGTTAAGTTAATTTTGGGGACATTCTAAAAAAACAAAAATAATTTATAAAATATCATATAATAATACATAATAAAAATAAAATAATTATAATATTCACTCTTACTATCTGATCTAATACAAAGTTGTGGAGGAGAGGGTGTATTCAGCTCAGACTTGCATATTGCTGCTCATCATCAAAGGAAGTCAGGACAGGAACTCAAACAGACCAGGAGCCTAGAGGCAGGAACTGATGCAGAGGCCATGGAGGGGTACTGCTTACTGGCTTCTCAGCCTGTATTCTTATAGAACCTAGGACCAGGAGTCCAGGGATAGCACCACCCACAATGGGCTGAGTCCTCTCCCATCAATCACTGATTAAGAAAATGATCTTATGGAGACATTTTCTCAATTGAGGTTTTCTCCTTTCAGATAACTCTGGCTTGTATCAAGCTGACATAAACTATCCAGCCCAGCACTGAAGCCTAAGATTTGTAAAGAAGTGTGAGAGCCTTGAGTCACAGTACATCCCTCATAATGACTTGTAGTTACATTTTGTAGACATTACTATAATGAAAAGTTTAATTATATGCTATAAAATAGTGCTTTATTAGTTAATCATGGCTATCTACTATCACCTGAGAGATGTAGCATCATTACCAGATAAAGAAAACATTGCAAAGAACAATGTTCCATTAATGTCCTACTTGGACAAAGATTTGCTAATCAAAATTCTATGGGTAATATACAGCTTCAAATATATATATTATTTAATCCAATATGGGGTGGCTCTCAAATAAGCTTAAGATATTTTAATAATCTCATTCATAATCAAAATCCAGTTTCAGGGCAGCAAACATATACTGGTGTCTTCTTCTTTTTCATGGTACTTCTCTAACCTGTTCTTGGTTTTTTTGTTTATTTACATAACATTTCCTCAGTGTAGCTCACATGAGTTTACATCTAAACACCAAAAGGGAATATAAAGGTAAGCATGTTTTAAGAATTTCAATAGACTTTATGTTTTTATATATGACATTTCTTCAACACAATGAACCTGAGTTTATATTAAAGGGAATATAAAGGTAAGCCATATTTCTAGAAATTCAATAGACACTATTTGTGGCAGAACATCTACCAGAGTAATGAAGTAGGAAAATCTTTCTACATAAACTGCAACAAACAGACTTAAATTAGTATATTTTTATAATTTCTGCTATTGTGGTAATTTATATGCACAGTAAAGATAGAAATAGAGGAAAAGCTTACTTAAAAACTATAACAAATAATAGGGCAATGGTGGCTCATGCCTTTAATTCCAGCCCTCAGGAAGCAGAGGCAGGCAGATCTGTGAGTTTGAGGCCAACCTGGTCTACAGAGTGAGTTCCAGGATAGCCAAGGCTACACAGAGGAACCCTGTCTCGAAAAACAAAAACTGTGTCACACGAAGAGGTGTTCAAGAAAAAAGCGAACAGAAACTGCATGCTGTATGTTTACAGCTTTGAAAGTAAAGGCAGGGGAGGGAATGGGAGAGGGACCTAGAACTGACTTGTGAAGCAACCTCACTTCTTATCTAAATTTAAACTGGAAAATAAAATATATATAAAAAAAAAGAAAGTAAAGGCACCATGAAGAGTTCATGATTTACTATACTAACTGGGCCCATCAGAGATTAATTTGGGTATACAATAAAAGTCATATTCACATAATTTACAAGTGCTAATAAGGTACATTTATTGAAGTAATTTTTGATCCAGCCTCATTTTTCTGCAATGTAGGAAGTTTTCCTTGATGAAATTTTCCTGTCACTGTGTATTTTCCAGCCTCTACCTCCCCAAGGAACAATCAGTCTTTGATATTCATTGAAATAAAAAAATAGTAGTTATTGTTCTGTGAAATGGTTTCTCTGGTCAATACTCCACATAGAACAGTGACAGACCACCATTAAATTCAAGAGCATACACGCAACACAACAAAACCATTGTTTTCACAAAACTGCATTTTACCTTGCTATCAAAATTGTATTCATCCTCATCCGACGTTGGCCAGGAGTCAGCAGGATCGGGTGTGTTAGAAGACCTTAGGAAAATACCCAACAAAAACTCTAAGCCTAGTTCTTAAAAGAAATCTAGGAAGAAATTAGTGACCTCATCAATGTGTGATGTCACTTCTGTCTCAGAACTGAAGAGAATCTGATGGGACCTATAGCATGGGACAAACCCTGTCTATCCTGCTCGAACACTCAGCAGCAGACTAAGGAATGGCAGCCTTGTACTCAACCTGGAAACGACCTAATTAGGATCCCTCAAGCCAGGTCTGATGGCACATGCGTATAATCACAAAGTGGGTCAGACAGCCATAAGATGAAGGCCAGTCAGGTTTACATGGAGTGTTGCAGGCTAGGGAGGGTATGTAGTCAAACCTAGGACCCTATAGCTTCCAGGTACCATAAAACAGTATAGGGAATCCCATGAAATATTTAGTAACCGAAACTGTGTGGTGATATTTTGTTTATGATCTAACAAATAAAGCTTGCCTGAAGATCAGAGTACAAAGCTAGCCACATTAGTTAGCCATAGAGGCCAGGCAGTGGTGGTACACACCTTTAATCCCAGCACCTGGGAGACAGAGGCAGACAGATCTCTGTTACTTCAAGGCCAGCCTGGGCCACACAAAATTGATCCAATCTAAAAGAGAAACAAAGCTCACACAAAGGTGATCCCAGCATTTGGAGTGACATGCCTTTAATCCCAGCACTAAGAAGGTGGAGATAAGAATGATACGGTAGGAGATAGGAGAGAGATGCAGTCTAGCAGTCTGAGGAGCAGTGCACTCTAAGCAGTCTGAGGCCAGGATTGTCCCTTTGGTCTGAGCATTGGTAGAGGTAAGAACTCCAGTGGCTGGCCACTTTGCTTCTCTGATCTTCAGCATTAACCCCAATATCTGACTCAGAGTTTTTATTACTAAGAACAATTAGAAATTGTACTTCTAGCATGCGCAGAGCCCTGGATTCAGTCTCCAGTATGGCATAAAACTGGACATTGTGGTTCATGCCTATAATCCCAGTACTCGGGAGACGGAGGTAAGAAGATCAGAGGTTGAAAGACATCTTTGACTACATAAAAAGTTTGAGGCCAACATGGACTATATGAGAATCATTTCAAATAAGTAAAATATTTTTAAAGTCCTATAAATAGATCCAAATATAATTAATACAAATTAGTCTGCATACTATTCTCTCTTCCAGTCTAACAGTTCCTCTCCAGGGCTTACCCAATTTGGAATGTCTGTGATCCTACAGCCATAGCTGGGTAACATCTTTGATGACTGAAAACAAAGCACAGCTTGCCACTGCAACTGTCAACTCTTGGAATATAACTACTTCCAAGGAAGACTTTAGATCAAAGTTAACATAACTGAATTTGACTTTCTAAACTGTCCTGTCCCAAATCTTATCCCAGTGCTGCCACAGGCCCCTATGAATCTACACAGAGGGGCAGCAGACTGCATTTGGGGGCTAAAGAGATTGCTCAGCAGTTAAGAGCACCGTATGCTCCTCCAAGGAACCCAAGTTTGGTTTCCAGCACCCAAACCAGTAGCTCACAACCACCTGTAACTCCAGTTCCAGGGAATCTGATACCCTCTTCTGGTCTCCATGGGCACCAGGCACACACATGGCACGCAGGCAAAACACTCCAACATAAAATAATAATTTTTAAAAACCTAGCATAAACAAAAGACTTTCTTTAAAAAAGATAATCAAATCATAGATAAGACACCAATTAACCATGGAATCATATGCTAATTAACCTTTCTGAGTGACTGCTGCCTAATGAGTCGGAAGGAAAGCAGAAGGTGGGTAGGTGGGTTAACAGCAGATACTTTGCAAAGCTCTTGTGACCCCTGCAAGGAATAAATGTGAATCATACTATACAATATAATTATCTAGCTCACAGAAGAACACTTATTAAATGTTAGTCTCTATCCACTCCATTCTCTAAGCAGCTAACATTTACTTTAACAATGTTATATATTCCTACCTACCTGGTTAAAGATTCATCTTCAGAACCATTATCCACTGCTAAAGAAAAACATAAAGTACATTTAAAATTAACAACAGAACAATGTAAAAATAATATGTTGTTATTATTATTAATGCTTTCTCTTTGGTACCACACCTAGAGGCTATCCTAGAATGAATACTAACAATACTACTGATTAGGTAATTAATCCATTAAGGATGTTTGTCCTTCCTTCTTTGTATTTATCAAACCCAAGAAAGGATAATGTATAAAAATCTGACACCTAAAGGCAAACTGCCAGTGCTATGACCATAGTCCTACCTGGACATTATTAGAGCAACAGTAGATGGCATAATTAGCAGAATCCATATCACAGCAGGATTATTCTGCACTAACAGCACTGGGAACAATTACAAGAGTACAATCATTTTGTTATGATACAATATGGCTTTCCCAGGTTTTCAATCAATACTGCATTTGGGGATTTAAAAAAAAAAACCCTGCTACAAATAGGCACTATCTAGGAATACTGTGTAATTTCCAGTAAGTATCTGATCCTTTTTTTTTTCCTTAATTTAAATTAAAAACAATCTTATTTTACATACCAATCCCAGTTCCCTCTCCCTCCTTCCCTCCCACTCCCCACACCATGTCCCATGGGGAATTATCAAAGTCTGTCACATCATTTGAGGCAGGAGCAAGGCCCTATCCCCTATATCTAGGCTGAGCAAAGAATCCCTCAATTGGGAATGGGCTCCAAAAAGCCAGTTCACACACTAGGGATAAATACTGGTTACACTGACAGCAGCCCCATAGACTGCCCAAGCCCTGCAACTGACACCCACATTCAGATAGCCTAGTTCAGTTTTATGCTAGTTCCCCAGCTGTCAATCTGGGATCCGAGAGCTCTCCCTTGTTCAGGTCAGCTGTTTCTGTGGGTTTCCCCAGCATGGTCTTGATCCCTTTGCTCATCACTCCTCCCTCTCTACAACTAATCTTTTTTTAATGCATAAAAATAAGACTATTAACGCAAGCTTTCAGAATGAGACAACAGTTGGCTTTCCCTGGGAAAAGAAAAAGCTTTCTCATTCTATGAAAGTATGAATTAAACAAACTGATCAGTGTCTTAGCATTTCCCAGGATGCTACTCATGTGAAGTCTGAGGCTTTGTTGAGTGGTTGAGCACCTGCGCTACAAACAGAAGAGAACAAAGTGGGCTTGGCGGTGTGGTGGAAGTAACAACACCTTAAATGACTATATTCAATTACCTTGGCACTGAATTTAATGTTTCAAACAACTGGGAAACACACTCACTGTACTGTATTATTCCAACTACATGACTATGCAGGAAAAAGCAAAATTCTGAAGACAGTAAAAGAGCACTGGCTGCCAGGGGGTGGGGGTCTAGGAGACAGAAATAGGTGGAGTCCAGGAAATATTTAGGACAATGGAATTATTCTGATTATTATACCCCAGTGGTAGCTACGAGTCATACACTGGCCTAAAGTCATAGATTGTACCTAGGGAAGAAACTGATAAAAATTAGTGAAAAAATGCTGTACCTACTTTTAGTTGCAATATTTTATTAGCAACTTCAACAACTATAATAGTATTCTCTTATTAAGTGTAGCCTATTTGCTGTACAATCCATTATTATGCTAAGTGCATCTTGCTGTAATACGGATAAAGGAAACAGAAAGCATAATAACTGAAAATCATTTTCCTAATGGATTTTAAGGGTCAAAATTAAACGATTTTTTTTAGGAATACTGTTTTAGTTTATAAATTTCTTTTAACTAATTTCTTAAATAATCCTCAATTCCAGACTGAAAATAAAGAAAAAAAGTATGAATATCACTTACATAATGAGTTTTATATTGTGCTTCTATGACCAAAATTTTCCTAACTTTACATGTTTACCCACAAAGAGTGATTCTTCATGAGGAATCTTACCTGGATTGCTATTTTCAGAACTTTTTAGTCTCTTCCCATCATATTCAAATATTTGTCTGTTGCTAAGTTAAAAAAAAAAGACAAACATTACTATTTTAATCCTGATAAGCAAAATGATTACTATCTATATTAATTAAATTCATAACAGTATTACAAACAAAATCAGAGACAATATCAGAATCATATCCCATGTGAGTCAAATGTACAAGCTCTCCAAGCTTTTGAGTGTCCTTCCAATGAAAGAAAAACACAAGTGAAATGGTGAAGAATTGAAGACAGCTGATTAAATCAGCATGGCTGGGCAGGATGGAAGAGCCCTCAGCAGAACCCCAGTCCTGCAGGCGAGGGTAGGCAATGCACTTCTCGTAGGCTGAGTATGTCCTTTAAAAAACCATGGATTTTAGTGCTTTCGGTTACTTAACTTCCTCTGAAGACCCATAGAGAAAATATAAATACATGCTAAGCTATTTTGGGGTTCCAAGCAGAATCCAAATGAGTGTGTATTTGTTTACAGGTTCTAACACTGCTGCAGTTAGTTACAAAATATTGAGGTTTACCTTGATTATTGGCACTTCAATTCTTTGTGGCTATTTGACCCTAACCAGCTACAGTAATTTGAACTAAATGTATCAGCAAACATCTCATTAAATTAGGTACTGCCTCCTATGACTGAACTAATCAATGACACCAAGGGCAGAAAACATAAAGACTAAGACTTGGATTAGGCACTATTCCTTGTTTATCTCCTCCAGCTCTGAAACCAGTAATTCTCTCTTTAAACAATGCTTAATTTCTACATTTACCTCTAATTGGCATGGAAGACAAATTGCTCTGTTATATGTAGTTGGTCATGATGAGGTCCTACATCTTGCAGGAATGTAATCTTCCTGACTTAGAGATGTCTGCTGAAAAGCTTCCTTGTTAATCCAAGTTTTAAACACTCTGAAAAGCTAAGGCAGATCCTGGGAGCTTACTGGCCAGCCTGCCTAGCTCAAAAAATAAGTTTCTGGTTTACCACTCTCTACCCTACTCCTTTAAAACAGGCTCTTTCACCAAACCAGAAGTGCTTTTGGCTGACTAGTCAAAACCCTTTAGGCTAAGCAGGGCGGCCAAGATGCCCCAGGATCTGCCTGTCTCTGCCCCCTCAATGCTAGGGTTACAGACACACAGTCTCACCTGGCTATTTACACAGAAGCTGGGGATTCTAACTAAGATGCTTCTGCTTGCTGTGCACAGCAAGCACCCTCACCCACTGAGCCATCTCCTCAAGCCTTGTATAATCCAAAGGATACACTATCTTCCCTTTCATATGAGGAAGCCAGGAGTTAAGCTTAGCAATGTGTGACTCTAAAACTATCTCTTTTCCCATTATTATCCACCAATCACTTATTTTCACTAAAGAAAGATATTAGCCATTTCAGGTTACTCCTTTTCCTTTGCCCAAGCTAATTAAAAAATGTTAGACTATTAGAAGTAAAACAGGAAAAAATGAACAGCATGTAATGACGATTACACATGTGACAACCTAACATCAACACTCTTCACAAAAGTAATTTAAGAAAAAAAATGAAAGAAAGAATAATTTGGAATTTCTACTTAGGCCCAGGTTCTACTTAAAAAGAATATATAAGTGGAGGTTTAAAATGTTACAAAATAATTAATAATTCAATGTTGAGTCAAAAAGCAAACTAAAGGTTTATAGAACAACTATAAAATTGGTATAGCTAATATTTGATCATAGATCAGGCTACAAACATTTCTCATTAAAAGGGAATATGAATCCAACTATATGTTGTGTTGTCTAGTCTGAATAACTGCTTGTCTTTCTAACTAACGTAGATATTGATGTTTTTAACATCTTAGTAATTAAGTTAATCTTCTTAATTTGTATTTCTGAGTGGCTGTTAACACATTACAACATCAGTTTTTGCTTGTTTAGTGTGTGTGTGTGATGTGTGGTGTATGTATACATGTATATGGTGTATGGTATATGCATGTATATGGTGTATGGTGTATATGTGTGTTGTGTATAGTATATGCATATATGAGTGTGGTGTATTCGTGTATGTGTATGGTGTATGGTACAGGAGTATGTGTATGTGGTGTATTTGTATGTGTGTGCTGTATGCGTATGCGTGTGTGGTGTATACATAGGTGTGTGTGTGTGTGTGTGTGTGTGTGATATGTGGTGCATACATACATGTGCAGGTGTGCACACATGCAAAGACCAGAGGAGGACATTAGGTGTATTCCTTTATCATGCTCCACACGTATTGAGATGAGGCTTCTCACAAAATCTGAAATTCCCCAATCCACCCTGGTTAGCAAGCTTCTCTCCACAATCCAACATGTGGATTATAAGCATGCACAGCCATCACTGGCTTTACATGAGTGTTAGAGATTTAAACACACAATAAGCACTCTTGCCCACAGTCATTCCCCAGCCCCAACTGTTTCCTGAAAGAACAAACTACTATACCTTCCAAGCTGATCAACTGCATGAATACTTGCTTTTTTCTTTACTAAAAATTCCACAATATGCTGCTTATTTTCCTTTACAGCAAGTAACAGAGGTGTGAGGTCATCCTGTTAAGACATTAAAAGCAATTTATAATTCACAAATTGCTAACTTTTCAACTGAACTGTACTTAGGAATTACATGAGTGCAATCCAGCCAATCCAGCATCGCTTGAAGGCAAGTGATGCTATCTTTTGTTTCAGTAGATTTACAAGAACTACAAATTTTAAATGTCTTATTGAATTAGCATTTAATAATTACCATTTAATAAATCACACAATGGTGTGTGAAATCTCCAACTTTAAGTGTGGAAGTTCTTGCTAAGCCAGTGGTTCTCATGTGGGGTCATGACCCCCTTTGGGGTTGCATATCAGATATTTACATGATGATTCATAACAGTAGCAAAAATATAATTATGAAGTAGCAATGAAATAATCTTATGGTTGGGGGATCACCACAACATGTGGAACTGAATTATGGGGTCACAGCATTAGGAGGGTTGAGAACCACTGCTCTGGATTATGCAAACATGCTGCTTCTCATCTATTTATTATGCCAGGATCCCAGAATCCAATGTCAGGCACTCCTGCTCCAGGTGAGTCACTAAGGAAATGGCACTGAATGAAAAGACATGGACACAGATGGATACTCACTGCTTATTAAGACATGGTCTGTGGGTTTTCTCTTATAATATGAAGCAATGCTACTTTTGTTGAAAAGCTAAGAAGGAAGGGCTCTTGCTTTTAAAAATCCTGGATACCTGTTCACTACTATTTTCACTCTGGAATTATTTTAATTGAGACTCAGGGTTTTTTGTTTTTGTTTTTGTTTATCTTAGGCAAAATATAAGTCACCAATTCAAATGTAATGCTTATGAATCAGTGGGGTAGACAAAGGTGCTGAGATGAACACTAATGGCCAGGGGACCTCTTCAGTGAAATTATAATAGCAACAAAAACGTAAGTCTAAAAAAACAAGAAGCATCAATGACCTGACAAGAGAAGACCTGCCCCATTACATATAACAGTCAAGATGTCAAAACACAAAGAAAACAATATAAAAAGTACAAGAAAAACACCAACCAACTTCAAAAGGGAAACACATCAGATCTCTCATCAGTAATCTTAAAGCACATATAGGGAACAATTATTTCAAGTCCTGAAGGTAAGGAACTTCTAACCGGACTGCTATATCCAGCAAGGCTATCATTTATAACTGACTGAGAAATAAGAACACTTCACAACAAGCACACACTAAGGCAATTCACAACAAGCAAGCAACCACTCTAAAAAACTCCTTGCAGGAAGCCGGCAAGATGGTTCAGTGGGCAAAAGTACTTGCCATGCACGCCTGATGACCTGATCCCATGGCGGAAAGAGAAAAGGGACTCCCAAATTCCATGAGAGGAACAGCTAAACAGGAGAGCTCTCATGTCCAAAACAGCAGCAGAAGAAGAACACACCATAAGATTAAGAGGTGACAGATAAAAGGACAGTAATCTGACCACAGAAAAACTAACAAATTACAACAGACGTAAAAGGTCAGGTTTTGATACAATAGTAGTGGTTGACTTCAGCACCCTGCTCTAATCTTTATATAGTTCACTAGAACTAAAAATTAAGACACTTCCAAGTTAAAGTACACCACAGCTCAAATGCACTAACCCATCTGCATAGAGTCTTTCTCTCAATAGACATGGAGTACACATTCTTCATAGTAGCCTATGCAAGCTTCTCATGCAAACACATTCCAGACCACAAATCAAGTCTAACAATAAAAAAGAACCAAAATAACTTCTTGTATTAGCATTATCATAGTGAAATAAAACTAGAGATCAAAAGCAAAGACGCTACACAAATATCTGGTGACTGGAGAAAATCAGGGAGGAAGTTTTTAAGTTCCTGGAATCAAATACAAAAGGAAGGGCAACTCACCAGAACCTTGGGGACAACACTGAAGGAGGCTCCCTGTATAGCTTTGAGTGCTTACATTAAAACAATCAGAGCGCTCTCAGACAAATGACCTACTGATGCACTTCTCAGTCTTAGAAAGACCAGGACGATGTAAATGCAAAAGAAATAAGGGGCTGGGTCCCTGGAATAGGAGTTCTGGATGACTGTGAGCCACTGCGTGGTGCTGGCAACAGAACTCGGGTCCTTTGTCAGGTAATGAGTACCCTTAACCACTGCACCATCTCTCCAGTCCCTAAAAAAAATCTAATTTTTCTAAAAGGGTAAAAAGGAAATCTCTTAAAAATGTTGTGTGAGTGGGTGGGGGCAGATGGGTGGGTGGAGATGTGTCAGCAGGTAAAAGTTTACTGCCAAGTCTGTCAGCCCAAGTTCAACCCTGAGACCCATTCGGTAGAAGGAGAGAAACAACTCCCTAAAGATGTCCTCTGATCTCCACATGCCCTCTGTGGCATACTCACCTCCTATGGCCATAGATAGATAGACAGATATGCAAATAAATAGATAGATCTATAAATAAATAAGCAAATGAGCAAGCAAAAGTAACAAAAAGCAATTTTAAAGGGCAATTATATTCAAACTTAGACTCCACCAATGGGTAAAACTTTGATTAGATGGAGTCCTCATGATCTAACCATTTCTGAAAATATCCTCACAAAAATACACAGAAGTGTTTTTTCTCAATCTGATCATAGTGACAAGAACCATCACATTATGTCACTGATAAATGTACTTTGGTCATTAGGAAATAAAGTCATTATTATACCTTGTTCTTGGCTTCCATATCTGCGTTGTGTGCAAGCAGTTTGGCTGCTATGGATGTGTTTTCACTGCAGACAGCATAGTGGAGGGCAGTGTTGCCACTGTTGTCCGTTACATTCGGATCAGCACCATGCTCCAGCAAAATAGTTGCACATTCTTCCTCCTGGCATTGGACGGCCTGTTGTTATTGCATCAAGGAATAGATAATTAGTTTAGGAGTTCAAAATAAGCACATCCTAGGTTTTACTTATTACTATATTTAAACGAAATTGATTTCTTTTTTCCCTAAGTATTTAAATCAAATCCATCTCAGTTTTAACTGCTGGTCGGTATGTACCTTAATGAGAGCTGTGCTGTTCTCACCGTCACAGGCATCAATGTCACATTTTCTCTCCACTAAGAGAGTCACCACTTCTGGATGGCCATAAGCACAGGCAAGATGTAGCGCAGTTCTGTGAAAATGAGAGCGCTTTTTTAGTAAATTACAGAGCATCATCTAAAAACATATTTCCTGTAATGTAAACACTGAACAGTATGCAATGTCTCTTCTTTCCCAACAATTATTTTTCTTCTGGCAGCAGAACATTCATGGACAACTTACTGGATTTGTGTGTGTGATACTGCAGTGAAGCCCTGAGACTTGTGTTAAGTAAACAATTACTGAGCTAGATTCCTAGCCCAGAGCAGACAATGTGCAAAGTAGCCTTTGGATTTAGCTTGACTTGGGTACCAACACTCTTTAAGGTCTACTAGTTATTAGCCTCACTTAGCCTTTCTCTGCCTCAATTTTCTCACCCATGAAATGGACAAAGGCATTTGCCACAAAAGCTTCATGACCTGAATACACTCCATAAATCCCATGTAGACCAGGTTGGCCTCGAATTCACAGAGATCCATCTGCCTCTGCCTCCCGAGGGCTGGGCTTTTTTAAAGGTGAGTGCCACCACCACCCAGAGACACAGTGGTTTTATAGTCATCCTTAGTCTTATTTGTCTTGGTACTTTTCTCATTATGGCTTTTTTAAAGGTTTAAATTATAATCTATCATGAATTTATTTTTGTGACATAAAACTGTGGCTAGTTTCCTCCAAACAAGTTAACAAGCATTTCATTCATGAATGTCATATTTCCTACTAATAGGGGTGTCTCAGGGATCAATTTCTAAATTCTTACATATATTTGATGCGTCTCTTGGCTGCTACTAAATGACAGATGTGTGAAAACTAATATCATGATACTTTAGAAAGGCTTTTTTCCTAGTGTCATCACAAAATCAAAAGCAGCATGAGAAACTCAAAATTGTTAAAACGATGATATTCTTATTTGGTTTATGTAAAATAGATAAGAATACAGAGTTCACATTCTGGGAATTATCAATCTTCTATTCGAGAACATGGAACTATTTTCCCACTTCAAAATGTAGCAAAAACAAAAAAACCATATTCACACAGGTGTATACTGATATATTATTGGATATCACTGGAAGAATTTTTAACCTTGAACAGAAATATTTCTCCCATTATATATTCTACAATACAAAACATTTTTAAATGTGTGCAAAAATGTAAATTGTTTAGTTAACACACTTTACACAGCCAATAAAGGGAACTGTTAGTGGACCAGAAGCCAGCTAGGGTGTTTTCTGTTGCTGCTCCTACGGGGCGGGTTCTAGACCCCACCACGGTTTAGGCTTGCAAGTGCAAGGTGGAAGGAGTCAAGCTTCCTCAGTGAGAGCCAGCCTCTGGCCCTGCCTTCCAACCCCGAAGCCAGACAAGGTGCGTGCTGCCCCACCAGCCACGTCCCGCCCTGCTAGCTCGCGGGCCCTAACAATTACCTGTCCTTCTTGTCTCTATCGTTCACGCCACTTTTCCCAAGGATAAGGATGTGCTGTACTTTGGCTACATCACCCACGCTTGCAGCCTTGTGGATCTTGCCCATATCCTTGTCGTGAATGTGGTACCTGGGCATGAGGGAGCCACTAGCATTCTCACGCCCGAAGCCCACGCAGTTGTTCCGCGGGCGGGCGGAGGGGCCTAACGGCATCGGGCCCTTACTCCTGAAGCCAAAAATCTTCTTCATGGCCAGAGGGTACGCCCCTCACAGGCACCTTGACCCTGGCGTGGCGTCAGCCGTCTTCACAACGCAGCCCTAGCGCCTCCTGAAAAGCCAGCCTAGTTCCACAGAGTCCCAACGTGAAAGTCGCTGCATGGCTCCGCAGGGTTTTAAAGCACGATAATCGCCCAGCAAAGCTGCAAACTAGCGACCCGAGCCGTCTAGTCCCCGCGCATGCGCGCAAAGGCCCAGGAGCAAGCGGGGCCCAGCACGCACGCGCAGGGCCAGGCTCCGCCCTCTATGTTGTTCGCAGATGTTAAGTAGTTGCCTCGCCGTTCTTTAGCCTAGGGCTTTGGCCCGGGGTGGGCCGGTGTCTTTCCTGAGGCCCAGGTCCACCCTCAGCTAGTGTGGGGCGCGGGCTAGCCTCGGCTTCCGGCTGCAGGACTCCAACAGGGACTGAGCGCTCGCCGCCATGGAGGGAAGATACAGTGTGCCAGGATTGCGGGCTTCTCCGCTCCTGCAGACGATCCCAGAACCTTCTAGAGCAGCTGGGCCTGCTTCCCTTTGGCTTGTATTTCGGAGGCAGTTATAAGGTCCTAGGGGAGCCTCTGGGCAGGTGACTCCTTTAACTCAACCTGGGTGGTAATCCAAAAGTGGACCAAACTATAGACAGCATGGATGGGATTGTGGCATGGGAGACGAAGGGAAGAGATTTTTGTCAAGCTAATCCGTGAAGCAGTTTGGGAATTAGTGAAATAAATGGTTGTGTTTCATAGCCTAAAGAGTCAGTGTCAGAATTAATTATACAAAGTTGATGGAAGGTAAAGATGTCTGCATTTGGGATCTGAATGAAACAATGTGACCTAAAAGTTTTGGGTTTGGATGTGGAAAAGTAATTTGTAGTAAATAGTTTTTCCAGTGAAAGTATCTGATGTTTTAAATTCTTAATTTAAAGTCTAGAAACACAACTTGTCTCAAAAGGTGTGCTGGCTAGTCTGACACATAAACCAGAGTTATGGAAAAGAAGAGAACCCCAAGTGAGAAAATGCTTCCATAAGATCTGATGGTAAAAGACACTTTAAAAAGTGCTCACCATCCTTAGGCATCAGGAAAATTCGAATCAAAACAACTCTGAGATACCATCTTGCTCCTGTCAGAATGCCTAAAATCAAAACACCAAGGACAGTTTATGCTGGAGAGGATGTGGAAAAAGGGGAACATTCCTCCACTGCTGATGGGAATGCAAACTTGCACAACCACTTTGGAAATCAGTATGGAGATTCCTCAGGAAAATGGGAATCAGTCTATCACAAGACCCAGCAATTCCACTCTTAGACATATACCCAACCGATGCACATTCATACAACAAGGACATTTGTTCAACTATGTTCATAGCAGCATTATTTGTAATAGCCAGAACCTGGAAGCAACCTAGATGCCCCTCAACTGAAGAGTAGATAGAGAAAATGTGGTACTATTCAGCAGAAAAAAAAAAAAAACAAACAATGGAATCTTGAAATTCACAAGTAAATGAACGGAACTAGAAGAAACCATCTTGAGTGAGGTAACTCGGTCACAAAAGGACAAACATGGTATGTACTCACTCATATATGGATTTTAGACATAGAGCAAAGGATTACCAGCCTACAATCCACACCGTCAAGAGAAGCTAGGAAGCAAGGGGACTCTAAGAGAGACATACATGGTCCCCAGTGAAGGGGAAAGGGACAAGATCTGAGCAAATTGGGAGCATGGGGGGAGGGGAGAGGGAATTAAAAGAAAAAGAAGGGGAGGAGAGGAGGACTGGAGGGAGCAGGAAGATTGAGTGGGGAGGGGGGGAATACAGGAGAGACCCAGCTATACCACTTCTTGGCATATACCCAAAGGATGACATCCTGCTGCAGAGACACTTGCACATCCATGTTTAGTGATGCACTACTCCCCATAGCCAGGAAATGGAGCCAGCCTAGATGCCCATCAACTGATGAATGGATAATGGAAATGTGGTATGTATACACAATGGACTTTTGCTCAACTGCAAAGAGCAATAAAATTCACAGGAAAATGGATGGCCTAACAATAAATATATTGAGTGAAGAAATTCAGGCTAAGAAAGATAAACTCCATATGGTCTCTCTCATATAAAGATGCTAGCCTCTGACTATTACATTTGTGCATTGTTCATATGTGTATATTATATATGGGAGTAAGTTTGTATAGAACATAGGAAACTATCCAGGTATTGGTGGCACACGCCTTTAATCCCAGCACTCGGGAAGCAGAGGCAGGTGGATCTATGAGTTTGAAGCCGGCCTGGTCTACAGAGTAAGTTCCAGGACAGGCTCCAAAAGCTGCGCAGAGAAACCCTGTCCCGAAACCCCCCCCAAAAAAAAGAACCTAGGAAACTAAAAAGAAACCCATTAAGGTTTGGAGGAAGACAGTGAATCACTTCTAATGTGTACATAGGTGAATGTTAGAGACGAAAGAGGACAGTGAGTTAGGGGAGGTAAGGATTATCTAAAATGAACAAAAATGAAAAAGCCATGTGTAAATCTGATACTTTGTAAGATAACCAAAAATAAAATAACATTAAAGGCAAAAAAGTACAGGAGAGCAAGAAAAGAGATACCATAATAGAGGGAGCCACTTGTAGTTCTAAAGAGAAATCTGGCTCTAGGGAAATGTCCAGAGATGTCCAAGGATGACCCCAACTAACAATCTAAGCAATAGTGGAAAGGCTACCTTAAATGCCCTTTCCCAATAATGAAATTGATGACTACCTTATATTCCAACCTAGAGCCTTCATCCAGTAACTGATGAAGCAGAAGCAGACACCCACAGCTAAACACTGAGCCGAACTCCTGGAATCCAGTTGCAGAGAGGGAGGAATGATGAGCAAAGGAGTCAAGACCGGGCTGGCGTAACCCACAGAAATGGCTGACCTGAACAAGGGAGTTTGAACCCCAGACTGATAGCTAGGAAACCAGCATAGGACTGACCCAGACCCCCTGAACGTGCATGTCAGTTAGGAGACCTGGGCAGTCTATGGGGCCTCTGATAGTGGATCGGTATTTATCCCTAGTGTACAAATGGACTTTGGGAGCCAATTTCACAAAGAGGGTTACTCTCTCAGCCTAGACATACGGGGGAGGGCTTAGGCCCTGCTGCAAATGATGTGACACACTTTGAAGATTCCCCCATGGAAGACCCCACTCTCCCTGGGGAGCAGAAAATGGTGGGGTACAGGGGAGGAGGGGAGGGAGAAGGAAGTGGGAATGACATGTAAAACAAGATTGTTTCTAATTTAAATTTTAAAAAAGGAAAAAAAAGATCTGACTATAAGGCATTTTCTTAATTAGTGATTGATGGAGGAGGGACTGAGACCTGAGCCGAGGTTCCCAACACCTTGGTTTGAGAGAGCCTGCTAGGCCTTCCCAGGAATGTAGCCTGGACGCCATGTTCCTCTCTTTCTAAATATCCAGTGTCCTTCCTCCACATGGCTTGCAGTCTGTGGCATCTTATCCCCACTGAATAAAAGGCTATTGCATCTGAGTGTCAGGTAGACACACCCAGCAGCATATTCTCTGACCTGGAATCTCTGGTTTGCACTACATTTAAACCTTCCAGTGATATAGTGCTGTCTCCTACTCTCCTTGGACTCACTCCTCAAGAATCATACACACATCCTTATGTTTCTGCCAATATGTATTTTTAAAAAGTCTAAAGTCTTGCAGTAATTGTACTGGTTAAAATGTACCCTCCTGGGCCACACTGTGCACCTGAGGTTTTAAAGTACACTGAGGTTTGATTCAAGCTGCAGGTTAGGGCAAAAGAAACTAATTATGGGGGTCTCTTTTCCTAGGCTTCTGACCCACATTATCAAGCCTTTCCAGGAAAGGAAGCCCAGGTTTCCCAATCCCAAGTATCAAGGTCTCATTGTTTCCCAATCAAGATCCTGTCTTGCATCTGTATGAGAAATTTGCAAAGGTCATGAATTAAACTGCTACCTAATTCAGCCAATTGTCCAGTTGATTTTGTGTTTGATTTTCAACAACAGTGGCCTTCTGGTTACCAGAAATGACATTATATTAGGGCTGCCATGGAACCCTCTGACTCGTGTATTGTAAACTGAGTGTTTCTTTTTATTTCTTCAAGTTCTACATTGCATTCAGCAATTCAGTTTCATGCTGCAGGCTCGTTGCAGCAGGATTACCATAGCAACCAAGCAGCCCTTGGGCTCCCCCGGGATTCGCTTCAGTTAGCACTTTATCAAAACCAGGTACAGATGGTGATTTAATCACTTAGAGTGGAATGTGTGTCATGCCAACATATAGTTCCACTGGCAACAATATTAGCAGTGCCCTCAAACCTGAACACACGGCCGAGCACTCCTAAACCCCATTGCTGAGAGATTGTCTCCATAGACCACTCCTATGGCCAATTCTGTATTAGGGCCAATCTGAAAACAAAACAAAACATGTTATAAATTTGAACAGGAAGCCTTTTGTTTTTTATGTAAAGAACTGTAACATGAAAATGTCTTAACTATCAAATCAGCAGTAGTGAATGCAAAATTCAGTTCTTGTCCCTGGAGCAGAATGATTTCAGATGGAAACTGGAGTTGTGAAGGGCCCTTCAGACAGACTTCCAGGGAGAAAGAATCCTGCCTGGGAGCATGGCCCAACATTAGGTGGGAGAGTGATGCTAAAAACACTACAGGATGGAGCTGAGGATGACTGGGACCCTGACACTGTGGAGAACCAGACCAACCCAAGGCTTCCATAGAGGCCCTGATCAAAGGACAAAGGGAACTTCAGTTCTGTGGCCTTGTCCAGGAGTGGACTTGGAAAGGATTGGAGCCAGTGCTTTCTCATAGAAGTCAAGGTTGAGCTTTTAGGGACCCCACTCTTCTCTCTGGGCTGTGGTTATCAGTTCTTAAGCAGTTGTGGCTGAGGTATCCTGTGTTCTCTTTGCCAGTGATTTAGCTCTTTGCTGACCTTGGCCATTTTCCTCCTGAATGTCCTATATATGATGCTGTACTTCTTACTACACTTGCTTGGCATAAGTTATCAGTTTATGCAAAACCTCCTGGTCTTAGCTATTGATTTTGTCCTTTTTCATCTCTTGTCCTCTCTGAAACCTCACCATTCCAGACTCTTATTCCTACTGGTTCAGATCATGACACCAAGGTCCTCCCAAGTTAGAAGGGAAGTCACAGTATTCTGAA